AGAATCTATGTATATATTATATTGGAGGAATCCAATGGGCTATGAAGCTCTTTTTGTTTCACAGATGTTCAGTAATGATCACTTTATGAAAGTAAGTGGGTCTTGGGCAGCACGTGTGCCCTCGAAGAGATGATGACCGGGAGTCGAGGAAAGCGACAGGGCCCGGACGAGAGGAAGTCCACTGCGAAGATGGAGTTGATGAGATCAGCTCGCGCGCAAGAGCCACATGGATCGCTGTTTCACGGGACCGCAAGGGGGGATGACGACTTTGAGAAGGCTTCATGCAGCAGTAGAAAGATCATGACCAGGGTCGGAGCCAGGATTTTGACTTTGGGGGGGGGCTGACTTCAATATTCTCAGATATCTCAGTGTGTTTATGTCTTCCAATAGGCGCCACAAATGTATAAAACATTTTATTGGATATGAGCGCGGAGTTTATTAATAGGTCGGAGCCGCTGATGTGGCTAATAAGTTCGATAAGTTTTAAAGGCTGCCGCTCAAGCAGCCTGCAGGGCAGCACAAGGTGGCAGCCTGCAGGGCAGCACACAAGGTGGCAGCCTGCAGGGCAGCACACAAGGTGGCAGCCTGCAGGGCAGCACACAAGGTGGCAGCCTGCAGGGCAGCACAAGGTGGCAGCCTGCAGGGCAGCACACAAGGTGGCAGCCTGCAGGGCAGCACACAAGGTGGCAGCCTGCAGGGCAGCACAAGGTGGCAGCCTGCAGCATTTTGCAGTAGCCGGATATTCGGTTATCCCGATTACCGACTTTCCCAAAATTTCAGGGGGGGCTAAGCCCCCCCCCCAGCCCCCCCTGTGGCTCCGCCCCTGATTCATGGCTGATGATGAAGATATATACTAATTTTTGTATCCTCGAATAAACTGGCCAAAACCTTTAAAATAAAATTATATATATTCTTACTGGATATGCATCGTTAATTTTAACAGCCAAAATGGCCCCTGCTAGTGCACAGAATGGCCTTTGCAATGAAGAGCGGTGGTTTTGTAGTTCGGCTTCAACAGGTTGCATTAAGAGCACAATTTGAGGATTTGAGGTCCGTCTGTTTGTATGCGCATTTGAAGACACGTATATGTGGCAGGCGAGACTAAATGGGAATGCAGCCATGTTCACCACCATCTGTTTACAGTCTTCCCAGCTAAAGCCATAAATCTCGTGCTTTGTGGTCATGGAAACGAATTCTGCTCTGTACCTATGATTTATTCTGCTCCTCTGTAAGGTGTTAAATTGTTGGGTCATCTTCGAAATGATGGATATTTCTTAAGGAAATTAGTGGGCTTCACTTTTTACAACATAATTAGTGAGATTTTTTCATATGCATAAAACGTATATTGTTGGTTCTTTCGGTAAAGGCACGTAGATAGATAAATAAAAATAATACAATTCTAATTAAAAAATAAAAATAATAAAACATAAAAATAATACGTTGAAAATAAAAGCAAAACATAATAAAAATAGTACAATTAAATAAAAAATAAAACTTGTATGAGAACTGAAAAAATGTATTTAAAAAAAAACATCAATTATATTTATTCTTTGGGTCTTTCGGTAAAGTCACGTAGATAGGTAAAAAAACAAAATTACGACATTTCGATCACAACACAAGCGATCGTTATCCTGATGACTATGAACTCCTGCAGTCAAGTCAAAACATAAATTCTTAATTTTGACCCCCTTTGTTAACGTTCGATAAAACCACACAGCATACCAAACACAAGTCCTGTAAAAAAAAATATGTAGTCATAGCCAACAGTGGTTTGCACGAGTCTCCAGTCGAGACAACAATAGTCCCACGTTATTTAAATATACAATTCATACTTTAAATATACAATTCGTACGTTATGTTTTTTTTTTATTCTGAAAAGGAAATCGCAGGATAATACAATGGAGTCACATTTTATAACTGGGGTTATTTTTTTGACACGAGGTATACGATAAAGTAGTTGTAATTTTCAATAAAATTCAAAAGAAACAAGCGCTTTTTATTTAAATGTATTTCATAGAAAACAATGCACTTTTTTCACTTCAGATGTAATTATACACAACATCGAAAGACAATGTGCATTCATGAATAACATATGCTTTCGTTTTGTTGGAATGCAAGTCTTGTGGTTATAATGTTGTACATTATATTTAGACACTGGTAATGCCACACCCCTCTTAGACTTGTATTAAAGTTCAGGGGCTTTGAAATCATACGTATTTTTCTAGGATGGAGTTGGGTAAAACCTATTGGGGAAACTCCCAGTGCCATATGGGAATCAGGGACAGTGGCAATGAAGATGGATTTTCGAGTAATGGTTGTGATTCCTGCAGTTTGCTAAATGGACTTCATGGATTACCCTTATGTTCACATGTGTACCGTAATTAGCGACGTCTGAGACACGTCGTATAGAGGGCTTCTAATTTATTCTCACACTGGGCACAACACAGGCCGATACATATATATGTCTCCATTCACTGGGCACAACACTGGGTAGTATATATACACACGTCTCTACTTTAGCTATGCACAGGCGACTTCTCTAGATAGTCCCATCGCCTACATCCAACCACACAGCTGACTGACTAGTGTGACAATGACGGCGATTGGAGCCATGCAGAGGATCTTCCATGCGGCCGGACGATGGAGAGAGATGACGGCAAGCAGTGACGCAGCCAGGACCCGGGACCCTGCAACAACCCTGAACCTTCGGTCCCCATCCCCCTTATATACCTCTCGGCGTGGCCCGACCACGCCTCTGGCCACGCCCCCTTCCAGAACCTTCGAGCGGGTTCCTGAAGCTTCCCGACTAACTACACTTTTAACCCAGATACGCCCCCCCCACTTCTGATTAGGTAGTTGTTACATAATCTTGCCCATACCCGTGGTGAAATGACATTGCATAAGAACAGCTGTTGGTTCAGGTGTTTTACTGTACTCTTATTCACATATGCCTTTTTCAATATTCGTCGGTGAGATTTAAATTACTTGCTTGGTTGAAATGGAACCTTTACGTTAATTTGGTGGTAGCGAAGTAGTGCCGTCGTGGTCTATGCCATCAGAGGCACAATACAAATGTAGAGAAGTAGTGGCGCAGAGGTTAGTGATCTACGCAATGAACCCATTGACCTGGGTTTGGTTAACATGCACGGCGAATCGTGTCTGAACCAGTTTTGGGCTCTCCCTCACTGATCTATATTGGTGAAGTATGGTCAAACAACCCCCACGAGCGACACTGTGTGGAAAGGCAATGATGCAGCAGCGGATTGTATGCATGCATGTATGTTGCATTTCTTTCATACCGTACGTAGCCAACTGCTAATCGGTGGTGCGGGTTGACAAACGGCTGTAAATATATTTTCTGATACAAAAAATATAAACATATAGTTAATGATATTAAATACGGTGATGTTACTGAATTGCCCCAATAAGCTGAGTTTTTTGTTTGTCCTGTTACTATCGATGTTACACCTCCGATTGGCACGGTTGGCTACGTACGGTGTGAAAGAAGTTCAACATGTTCATGTATTCATCATCTTTACAAGCAGGTGGTGAAAAACATAACTTTTTCATTTTAGATTTAATTGTTGATTTTAATATTGTGTTGGTAAGACGTGAGTAAAATCCCGAACATTGTGTCTTAATCATATTGCAATTACATAAGTTCCATGAATGGCATATTGCTTCCTAGGGCATTGATATATTGTTCAATGGTGGCAGATTTCTACAGCTCAATTTTATAGCTGACCCAGACCAACTTTGAGTTGAATTAAACTTCAGAGATTATTTGTATTATCAAGGAATATGTATTAAAGGTTAATCAAAGACAAACCTGCAAACTCACGTGTCTCTCACAATATCTTCCCATCTGCACTGTAGTCTGCCCCGAATGCTTTTGTACATATACAAATGTGCCCTTAGGGACTCTGCTATCTGACATCTTGGAAACATGACAAGCTCAGCACTGCTGCTCTGTCTGTATTATTGCACTAAGTGATGTCTGCTGTGATATATTATAGAACTCATCGTTTGATGTGTTGTTCTGTCATTCGACTATGAGGCTCCAATGAATACAAAGCCCATAAAATCTTGTAGACTGAGTAATTTTCATGCTTTGCCTATACAAATTGTGTTACTCCCCACTTCACATCATCAAACATTCACACGACCTCTGAATTAATGTACCCTTAGTCTGGAATACTGATTTAGCTTGTATTTATTTACTATAAAAGGCAACTTAAAAGTGATTTGTGGCAAACCATCATAACCATTACACGGTATTGCATGCATTTGTGTATGACTTAAATCATGTGCATTTGAAGATTTTAAATATTTTTTGGTTATTATGTAAATTGTTATTGTATAAATTGTAGGTTTATTCCACAAAGTGTCAATTAAATGTTACAGCCAATTAGCCGTGGCAGTCAGTTTTGGTGGATTTTGTTTGCATGATCGTTGTGAGTCAATCACTCAATCTGCAGCGCTTCCAGGTGGCCACTCGGCATCTATACGGTGAATACATTACCTGACCTATTAACATCGATTGATTTGATTATTTTTGGCTTCATCCCTTAATAAAAATGAAATATATAAAAAAAGGAAAAAAACGTTTCTCCTCCACAAGGAAAACATAAATCAGCCGTATATATCCCATACATGGCCATCGCGAAAAATAGTCTTTGGCCTCTGTGAGACCCCCTTGGTGGAGTACATTCCTGGTATTCTTAGCTCTTTCGGTAAAGTCACGTTGAAGGGAAACAATAAAATAATAAAATATATATAAAACAATAAAAATATCACGCCGTTTTATATATTTTATTATTTTATTGCTTCCCTTCAACGTGACTTTACCGAAAGAGCTAAGAATATGAATTACTGCAGTCACGAATGCTTTAAATCAAAATTTACATTCCTGGTGTTAGTAGGGGCCTCGTTACGGTCAACTCTGAACAGCCCCGTCTCCTTGCGTGTTCGTTGTTCCGGGCAACGCTCTTGTCCGTTAGCTACAGCGACATGATGATCGAGAGAGAGGTGCTCGCCCAGAAGTACATTCACATCATGCAGATCGTGGAGGCAGAGAAGACGGCCGCCAATCAGCTCCGGCAGCAGCTGGAGGACCAGGACACGGAGATCACGCGCCTCAAGGCAGAGGTACCGCCCTCGCACATCCACTAACACCACGTGCTCCGCGTGTATCCCCGTATACTCCAGTAGTGGTAAGATGTGTGTATGTGTGTGTAGTGGTTAGCACGCTGCGATACGAACCCGGCGACCCAAGTTCAATTCACGCTCACGGTCGACACCAGTGACGATTATCTGAACCGGTCCTTGGCCTCCCCTAGGTAGACTCAGCCTCGAATAAGTGCGTTGTGTGTAAACATCACCACCGGGGAGACAAAGGTGGCAGGACGTGGTGTTGGCCACCAACCCCCTCGTGTGCCGTGCTGGCCTTCATAGGTGCTGCTTGCTAACAGCACTTGCCCCAACAGTCTGTGCAGGCTATACGGGGAATCTTTATCTTTGTATGTATGTTGAACTTCTTTCGGACCGTACGCCGGCAACCGTGCTAATTGGAGGTGCGGGGGGAGGGACAATAACATTGTTTGTGCATACACACAGGGCCCAGATTAACACAATTGGCTGGGCCTCGTATTTTAAGGATCCTCTACAATAAACACATACGCACTCTTTTATCATTCTTCAAACACAATACTGCAGTATTATGATGAAGCCTATGGTGTCAATTGATCATTAAAGCAATAGCATCACGACTGTGTGTGTACTGCTACCAGTTATGCGCCGAAATTCAAATCGATTTGATCTTTTTTTTTACTTTGATTTCGGTTTATGACTCGTCTCACACGTTTTAAAACCAGAACTCAAATAATCAAGGCGATTAACAATGGTGGGTCTGGCATCATTGGGTTGGGGTGGTGGTCAAACACCAAAGTGAATTGATTGAATGTACAAATAATTGTGTACTCTTGCTTTATAAGGCAGTGTTGTTGACGAATGTGTTGAATTTTATTGAATATGTGGTGACATCGCGGGATGTCACCGTGTAATGCAGGCCCTAGAGGCACGGCGTGCGATGTAGCGACATCGCGGACACCTCTAGGATGTGGGTGTAGTACCGGCCCTAGAGGGGCTGGGTGAGCGCTGACTGACAGCGCTGGATGGCACCACGCTTGGCGTGCAGTGCCGACCCCTACAGGATAGGGTGTGAGAGTACCGGCCATGGAAATGGGGTTACTAAGGGCCGTGGCATTCTGGTTGACCCCAGAGGACACGTGACCGGTTATGTCTACACAGGGGTCCCAAGTGGGGGCTAGGGGTGGTCACGTGTCAGGGTCGAGATCCTGCTCGAGGATTCCGGAAGGTGGGCGTGGCTAAGGGCGGAGTCAGCCACGCCACAGAGGATATAAGCCGGGTCCCCAAGAGGGACCGGCGTTGTTGTTCATCCTGAAGAATCTACGTTCTACGTCCTACAGAGTCTCCAACACGCGGACCTGGACCCGAGCTGTGGTCCGGTCCGTTGTAGCTAGTTACGTTGTAATTAGTGTAGTTAGCCTGGTGGTCACGTAGCTAGTTACGGTGTAATTAGTGAAGTTAGCCTGGTGGTCCACCACCATGGGTTGTTATTCTGTGAAGGGGCAGTTACCCCGTGTGTTGGTGTTAATACATGTGTTGCCTCCAAGAGCACGTCTGCGACTCAGTTGAACTCACTACAAATACACAAAGAAGCGCCTCCAACACTATAAAAGCCCCAATCAAACTTAATCTGGCCCCACATACACATGTGCGCGTGTGTGTGCATGTGTCTTTTGATGCAGTTGATATTTGGACGCTATATAAATCCAATGTCTTTGTTTTATATCATGCGAATTATGTCAAATATATAGCAAAACCTACGGGTAAAAAAAGCACATTATGTTCTGTCGGAATTCATATTCTTTGTTTCTTTGGGTAAAGTCACGTATCTCCGTATCTACGTGACTTTACACAAAGAACCAAACAATATGTTTCGTCGTGAAGGATTATGGTAATAAAATACTGAATAGGCAGATAGACAAAAGTCTCATAATGCTTCACATCAGCATGAAATGAGGTTTGTGCAATATCACTGTTTTGCATTGAAGGTTCCTCACGTCGTTGATGGAGAGCTCTTGCCTATATCATTTGGAAACCCAGAAGGATTTGTCTCACAGATCCAACTGTCAATGAGGTTCAGAAAGTCAAAACCATTGCCGAGGTTTACCTGCTTCTACAAGCATTGCCAAACATGTGTGGCAATGCTTCTACAAGCGTTGCCAAACATGTGTGGCAATGCTTCTACAAGCATTGCCACACATGTTTGGTGCAGAAAACTGATGGACTAAAATGTTATTTTATTTAGGCATGACACACCACTTGCCTGTTTATAGTATTACTTGCCACCTCACAAGTATTCTTTTTTGCGGTAGATTGTGGCGCTAAACAAAACTAAGGAGCGCATGCAGCCAAGGCAGCTGGTGGGTCAGGAGGATGAAGATCCAGACATCAAGAAGATCAAGAAGGTCAGTCTTGAGCGCTACTGGGCGCAGTTGTGTTTGGAATTTGAATGTTTATTTTTGCTGTGATATTTTAGCATAGATGCCATGGTATAGCTCCAATTTGTTCCGATATAATCTCTTGGACTTTTCGGCTGGCATGGCCCACAAAAAGGTGATGAGATCAATATTATCACTGGGCCATCCTTGTATTCCGAGTGATGATGGTAATTTATGAAGCAAAGTGCTCATTTGAGGCTGAGTAAGCTCAGGAAAAACTCAGGCCAATATCAGATGCAAGTACAGCTCTTAATTATGGGATCGAACAGTGGCGTGAAACAAACAACGAGCACTAACTCATTATTCCTCACCTGTGGCGTGTTCAATTTGCTGCCTCTCACACGCACAGCAGCACCGCTATTACCCGAGACAGTCTAGAGTACGAGCGTTCATTGAGACAATGGCAAATGCCTCAAATGTATATCTCTACAATGCAATGCTTGTCAGAATCATCGTTTTGGATACAAAGGAAAAAAATAAATAATGTTGCACTTGTGAGTTATGACTTGCATGGTTGCGATGGTTTAATCTTGGTGAGAGAACGGTGAATACAAGATAGGCAAGAGAGGTAAGGAATGCAGCTTTGACAGTTATACATAATTTTAGTGTGCATTCCAAGGCTATTATTATATATTCTCGCAGCTTCTTCATTCGTGTCTAAAACACTATGTATAAAGCAATGGCATTATCGGTCCGTTTTATCGATCCACGATATGAAAAACAATATGTGAAGAAGCAGCTTCTAACGGCCATTTACGTTGACCTCGCTTTGATGAATTTAAACGGTGACATCGCGAGGCATTTCATTTTTTTTATGGAACGAATAAGCCTGAGGGGCCAATTAAAATTTTAAGTACAGCATCGTGTGGAGCAGTAATGAGGCAAATGTGATTAATGACAACAATAAATTTCCTTCATCCCGCCCCCCGTCAACATGAGGAGGTGACTCAGGCATTATGGAGCTGCTGGTTTCCGCAAATGCCTCGCATGGATTTATTTCAGCCGCTGTCTAAAGAATTATTTGTTCGCAGAGCGCGATCATTCAATCCCAGATCTGGCTCAACACAAAACCGACTGCCATTGTTTGGACATCTCGCTTTCTATGTGTTTGTACCGATACACATGATTAATTCACATATAAACTTATGTAAACATATGTATATTTTCCCTATTCAATTGTACCACACAGAACATACCTTAACAATAACAGCTGACACAGACGTATAGCGTATGTCTTAGCATACCAAGTTTCCTTCAGCCTACTCTGAGGTAATTCAATTATTTTTTGAGACATTTAAGTAAACCCTATTTGATTTTTAACTATGACCATTAGTAATGCAATTTAAAGAAACGTATTATTACTGATGCACATTAGGTTTTATTCCAGCCTTTTTAAGCAATGCATATGTATTTCTACAAATAAATTAATTTCAATTATATGTAAGTTCATATTCTTGGTTCTTTCGGTAAAGTCACGTCTTTACCGAAAGAACCAAGAATATGAATCCCTGCAGTCACGAAAGCTTTAAATAAAAATGTATATGTAAGTTATTCAAATTATTTATTATGCTTGGGCATATCGATTGCCTGTTTGGCCAGATGATGATATAGCCAACTATCGTTGGTTAGCCATATCATCGTAAACTAAATTATACATTCATTACAGCAATAATCAATATAAATTTGATTGATCTTATCATATTTCAGGAGCTAAGGGTGGGTGATCCTGGTTAGTACCGGCATTGTAGACTGCCTGGCAATACGCTTGGACTGCAAGGTGTCCGGGAAATGGCAGACAGTACAGAAATGGTTTCTTGAATTCATCTGTGTGGAGCTTTAAGTGTTTACACCCTCGTATGTCGGAGTGGGTGTTTCTCTGGGCGCAGTATTCTCCCACACGTAAAGCACTCCTTAAAATGGAATTGGCCGTGACATCCCCAATAATTCTCATGAATCGCTGAGATTTCCGGGATAAATGAAGAGTAATATTATTGTTTTATATGTGCGAAGCTATTCGTGTAAACATTCTTCATCAACACACGTGTACGTGTTTTCTGACTGTGAGCTCGCACGGATCGCCGCTCTGGATTTAATACAGAGCCTTCTCATGAGACACATTTTCAGTACAGAAGACAGGAGGAGATTTAATTTTGAAAAATCCACTGACATGAACCCCATCTCATTCACCGATGCCTGCAAGCACAGCAGCAGCGCTCTTCCTTTAAGAAACTACACGTGCAGGGATTTTTTTTGGTAAATGAGGTTTGCACTGCATTTACCATCCATTATATATATTCATGTGTGCGTGTGATTCCTGATATATTCAGTGCAGTCCATCATGTCGGCTTAAATTGCCTGGCTGATTTGCGCCGTATTTCACACGGTCCCCACGTGCACAATGCTGTCATTAAGCCACGCTAACAGCCTTCCCGATGGAATGTACAGCACCATCGTGAAACAAATCCCCAGCGTTAGTAGAATGGAACGGGTCAATAGTTAGAGTTATTTGAACTGCCGACATCAGATGGACACACATTGAGTGCACATTAGTATCTGCAGATGCCGCTTTCAACATTTCCATTTGAGTCGCCATGACAGCGACGGGTTGAATGCTGCAGTCAATACCCAAACTGGCTTCCTGATTACATTTAGGCTTACCGTGCGAGCCATTGTCATACATGTTTGCATGTTAATGCTGGAGGGTTTTTCTTCTGTCATGGACACGACTCGAACTTGTGCCTTGATTTCTGCTGGAAATTCGTCTGTGCTTGGAAGCAGTGATTTCTGGTGGATGTACAAATATCTGTCAGGGAATTCGTGCTCATGATTCCCGGGTAGCAACACATACGACGCATCCCCTTCCCCAATTGCAACATGCCTTCGCGTTGTGAAGTATTACCTTTAACTCTCGATACACTCCGACGACGCGTGTCGGGGGTTGTCGCTGTGCCTTGTTCGACACGGTGTCCGACGTTTCGCTACGCCCACTGGAAGCTTCCTCGGGAACGAAATTGAGCGTCTCACTCCGGCATGCATAACGGAGGGAGAAAAAAAATGAGAGGCTCAAAACGCGTAGCTGAAGAGGCTCTCGACCGCGTGGAGCAAAAAATGTGTGACATCATCCCGAACAACGAGCCATAACATCCCCAACACGCATCGGAGGGCTTTGATCCTTGTTATTTCCACACTGTCGGTGCGGCGGGGGGGGGGGGGAATTCAGTCAATCAATCTTTATTTAACGTGCCAATATCGCCGTCAATAAAATCGGCATCAGTGCACATTGCGACGGTAACGAGAACGGTACAGAGAACATAGCGCAGCAGCGACAGAATGGGAAAAAGAATCCCGTCACGACCTCGGCGGATAACAACGACTGAGCAAAGTCAATTGCGACCGTGCGCAACGAATCACATTTACCATTGGTAAATGTAAAAAATGTAACGCAAAGAGGCAGTTTTTTTTATTCTCTCATTTTAAATTGTTGATTTTATGGGAAGATCCGCCTGAAAACGTGTGACTTGCACACCTTGGATGAAGCTGTGGCAATGACGAAGCTGACTTTATTTATTTTAGTTCCATTATACATGGCTCTGTAATCAACATTTGCGATGTCTATAGCCATTTAACCATGATATAAATACTGTATGTAGAAATAATCAAAAACGTTGAATTGAAGATCGCACAGCCACACCGAGAATGCTTGAAGAAAAGTCTAAAACCGAAACATCAGAAGAGCAGTCAGGCAACGATATACGCTCTCAGTTGGTGACATTTGAAGTGACATCCGAAGACATTTTCCAAGATCTAGGTTGTATAAACATAAATGGACTAACACGATAGACTATTGATATCTGAACCAGTACCGGCCTCCCAACTTGCACTGACCAATGTGGTGAAGTATAGCCAAACGAACCACATCACCAGGTCCTCATCCATCACTATAATGTCAATTATTGTTTGCTTATTTGTTTTATGCCCATTATCCAATCGCAAAAAGTACTGTAATTATTCAGAGGTCAATAAGACAATGGGGTGATTGATGTGACATTTTGTTGTTGTTAATGCCTATGAAAGGTTCGCAAGAGCAGTGTAAACACAGTCCTGTGGCCTCTTGTCTTGAGCTGGCATATTATCTGCCCTGCTGGTACCACACTGCCTGCCCACCGCCAGTCAGAGCAAACGTCTGTGTTCCACAGCGAAGGTTACGTTCAAGCTCCGGCTGTTGCGTTTGCTTCATAGGAGCGGTGAGCTCCCCGAAGGGAAGGAGTTGTGCTAATTGACAGCAGCTGCGTCGGCGGCGGCAGCGTTGGCTCCGGAGCGCCGCGCCCACACATCCCGGGCCAACCGCGGCGATTTAAGAACACAAATCTCAACCAACCCCCCACCCCCACAGCTTCTGCGATTCACGGCATGAATGACTTCACGCGCGCCACTGCCTCGTACGTTGTGAACGCTGCAACTGCCACCCCTCGTCTGCTTCTGGATGTTGGCCTTCAAAAAAACCACCAACATACGGCGCGTGGCGTGGTAATCACGCCAAATTAGCCACCTGACATAATCAAACTACAATCTGGCATCATGAGCTTCGCCTGCATACTCTAATGCAGTTTTTACATACATACAAAGAAATACATTTTAGTCTCACATTGAACCTTACTACATCACCTATAAGTGGATGCTCACATATGCTGCCAACGAATAGAACACATTCATGTCGATATACTCCAATGGGCTCTCTAATACAACTATCAGGGTAGGTTCTCTTACATTTGGCAAACGAGCGGTTGGTGCACTCTACTCATATGTGTCAATGCGGTCTTTGAATGGTAAATGGGGCTGAACCTTTTAAACTCACAGCAGGTGGGAGGGCAGATTCTGTCAGGTGTATCGGCCAGGAATTTGAGCCGAGGGCCCCACTAGTGCATGCCCAGTCCACCAATGTGGGCATAGCATCAGTCCCTCGAGTCACCCGGCAGCCTCATTCCAAGTTGTAACACCGGCCCAACGACCTTTGTCGATGCTGTTCTCCCGCTATGACCTCCAAGCATCCTAGACTTCGAGCGGGTCGGACCGATGAGAGCAAACTGCTGTCACTTCGGACGCAGCGTTGGCTTCTGGGAAGAGTGCCCGAGTGTGAGTTGGACTATAGTGAACATGTAAAGAGAGGGAAGCTGCCCTTTAAATGCGTGGACGGGGAAACTGCAGAAGAACTGTGCCGGAAACATTCCAGGTGCTGGACTTGGCATGCCTCATTTGGCACAGAAGAGACGATCACAACGCCACTATGCCATGGTGTCAGCTGCTGAAGAATGTCTGTCTGAGTGGATGGACCAGTCTCAAAGGTCTACTTGTGAGGGGAACGATGTCGCGATGATAATGATGATGGCGGTGGCCACAATTCCCTCGACCAAGCCCTATGTGTGTTTCTATGAGTATAAATTGTGTGAGCATGGTTTGTTTACGTCAGAGTCTGAGTACAGTTGATGCAAACCTGTGACGCTTCAGTCAGCTCTTAGTTTGCGGATTTCGTTTCTTTACGCCTTTAGTCGAGGCGACTAAAAGCGGTCCAACATTGAATCCACTCTGAGTTAATTAATTCCCACCCCCCCACCCCCCCGCCGCCTAATTGATCGCAATTTGCATCTTCATTCAGAATGCGTGTCGTTAATTCCGTCTCATCATGGTCAGTTGCGCACAGGTCCTTTTGTGTCTGGTCATAGTGATTGTCACGGTTGATGATTTACATCCACTCACGGCCGTCGTTCGTTAAAACGACAAACGACGCTTCACAATCGACGAGCATCTCCGCATACAAAACCGATCCGCCGCGCGCTGTCCACCCTCCCGCAGGTGCAGAGCTTCTTGCGAGGCTGGCTGTGCCGGCGCAAGTGGAAGACCATCGTGCAGGACTACATCCGATCGCCGCACGCCGAGAGCATGCGCAAGCGCAACCGCATCGTGTTCAGCATGCTGGAGGCGGAGACGGAGTACGTGACGCAGCTGCACACGCTCGTCAACATCTTCCTGCGCCCGCTGCGCATGGCGGCCAGCTCCAAGAAGCCAACCATCTTGCACGACGACGTCAGCAGCATCTTCCTCAACAGGTGTGCGCTGCCTTCTCGAAAAGCCTCACCTATTTATTCTCAATTGGCCAATTCCCTTCCTCTTCCATCCCTTCACCCCTCCATTCCTTCCCGTCCCTCCCCTGTCCTCTTGTGATCCCCGCGTGCCCTCTGTTATGGTGACTCGTCCCTCAGCCCCTGCACGCCCCTGAAATCACTCTATTTGTAGAGCGCCTTGAGAAAAGGCGCTCTATAAATATAAAATAAGCTATTCACCAAGTGCTACCGCGAGCCTTTTCTGCGTGTCGTGTCCAGCCACTGGGACCGGTATTAGTTCACCTGTCGAGCTCTCCCATAGTCCAATATTTTGCTGTGTGTGCTGGGAGCTTCATCTGAAGTAGCCTCTTCTGAAGAAGAATCTTCTCCTAAAGCTCCCAGCACGTGCAGCGAAACATTCAGCATCACCTCATCCTTGCAGAAGCTTTTGGCTAGCCATCAAACAAAGGGCGGTCACTACATTTTGCGCTTTCAGATGCGCTTCTGCGGCTGTCTGGAACGCTCTTCCTTCCGACATTAGGAAGCCATTGGAGCTATGCACTTTTAAATTATCTAGATTGAGAGCTAATTTCTTTCGAACTGTTTTTTTATGTTTAGTTTGTTTTCCTCGCCCCGCACCTCCGATTAGCACGTTTGGCTACGTACAGTGCCTAGGATGCTCAAGTACATGTAGTTAACGTGTTTGTTCCTAACCTACGTTGTGCAAGCATGCGAGCGGAATTCAAATCCTCATTCCTTCTCTTGCAGCGAGACCATAATGTTCCTGCACCAGATCTTCCTTCAGGGACTAAAAGCACGACTTGCCAGTTGGCCAACACTGGTTCTTGGTGAGTTGTTCGTGTTCATTTTTCCCATGATGCAAGATAAAAAAAAGAAACATGGTATTGTTTTCTTGGTTGCAACAATCCAATCCTCCCACCCTCAACCCCAGCATTTAATTCCACGAATTTTCATCCAGATTTCCATTCTGTTATTCAACAATCGATTATATATTCTTTTCAACCATGCTACAGGGTGACGTGAACTCATCTCATGCGATGCATGCACACCAAAAGAAAACGCCGATGATTGTATTTCACACGCGAGTTGATGCGTACATTGCGATATTCAACAAAACACGTACAGTGATAAATTAATTGATGCCGAGCTACGCCCCTAAGTATCCTATTCGTTTAAATTCCCGTTCACACCTGGACATTGCCTGTAAACGTGCATTCTCCCAGCGGACCTGTTCGACATCCTCCTGCCCATGCTCAACATCTACCAGGAGTTTGTGCGCAACCACCACTACAGCCTGCAGGTGCTCGCCAACTGCAAACAGAACCGGGATTTCGACAAACTGCTCAAGCAGTACGAGAGCAAGGCAGACTGCGAGGGACGCACATTGGAGACCTTTCTAACATACCCCATGTTTCAGGTACGTGGGTGGAAAGATGAGAACGATTCTCAGTCTAACCAGCGAACGAGCTTCCAGTCTGCTGCGTAGGTTTTCGTTTTACGGCTGTAACGCTCTCCCGTCCATGTCCCTGGGCTGTGCCACGTGTAGTTCGGCAATTGTGCCTCTGTGGAGCAGCACTAGGCTCTGAACCATATCTGGTATGCACAGTCGCATATACGGTAGCCGCAGCTGTCGACTGTCTCCACATGATGCTAAATATTGGCCATGAGCAGCTTTGCACACGTAGTTATATCTGACTTTCTGAATGCTGTGAGTCCAGATCCCAAGTGGGGAGTACAATTTGAGCTCATTATATCTCCTTTGTGGGAAGTCAACAATGAATAGGCTGGCCCTCGTCACAGGAATGTGGAACTTCCACCTCCACTGTTCAAGGGCCTCAAAATCAATTAGCGTCAACCAGTGATGGTTTGAGTAGTGGCCACTTTTGCTATGACCTTATGTAGAATATTTTTTTAAAAATTATAATAATTATTGTGATTGTCTTGTGCTTGCTGGGCGCTTGCTACAGATCCCCCGCTACATCATCACCCTGCACGAGCTGCTGGCTCACACGCCACACGAGCATGTGGAGCGCAAAAGTTTGGAGTTTGCCAAGTCGAAGCTAGAGGAGCTGTCAAGGTAATGTGGAGTCATCGAGTGGAAACAGCCAGAACCAACGCATCGCCCGCAGAAAACCCACACGAAGAGCTGCGAGGGGGTGTAACGATGCATCGAATTCTTTGAATTAAAATACATTTTACACTTGTGATACGTGCATCGAATCACGCAATGTGACAATCGATCATTATTGTCGGTTTACACGACATTGTAAGGGATGCTGCCCTCGTGTAACGGTTACCCGACCGTGTTCGATTAGACCTCCCAGCGCTGCCGTTAAAACAGTGGTGCAAGTTTCTTAAATCCCCCGCCTGTCAGCCCAGAAGCGTACACGACTGTAAGTGGGTAGCCCCACGGCCACGTCTTTCGGCGGGGTGAAGTGTGGGTGCTCCCACCACTTCCAAGATGCCTGACCGGTGTGGAAGAGTCGGCCAAATGGCATCCAAAGTGCCCCTCCAGAGCTCCTTCTAGTCGAGGCCCTTCTGCAGTAGTGGCGGCACGGGCAAGAAATTGCGGGGCTGCACCTTTACCGTGTATACATTGCAGGAACTATCGTGCAGCGCAACGTCAACATGAAGACTCAAGTCTCGGATCAAATGACAACCGCTACATTGTGACAATTCATCGAATTGCGAGGAGGGCAGAAATGGTATCGTCCAAGCGAGTGTGGCAGATTCGAATACGGAATGTTTTCAATCAAATGTTTATGCAGACAAATGCAACTTGCCACAATATAAAACGATGCATGTATAGCTGCTTTAGCTCAGCTGTAGAATGCACACGTGTGGACAAATAACCCGCGGCTTATTCCGTGTATGTAGGCGTTCCATGTTGAAGGTGATGATTGTTGCATAGCAGCATGACGCGACTGCTCACCATCACGCCGGCTGTAGTGGAGTGCACCTATAAGCCATTGCTTTTGATGTGGGATTAGTGGCTCACACATGCAGATAACATATATCATGTGTATGAGCAACCTATCTGCAGGACTGGTAGGTGACCAGACCATGGCAATACGAGTAGGTTGAGCAGTTATCCATTGTATTTTGGAATGGGTATTTAATTCCTCAGGCATCTCAGCTTCCTCCCACTCAGTGCTATTTATTTATATTTATACGTGTGAAAAACTCAATCAGAGAGCAGCCAAACATGTCAATGCAAATTTCACTTTAAAATGTGCCTCGAGTCTGAGTGAGGCTTTTTCTAGATAATGAAATGGCACTATTTTGTGTCTTGCCTGGTGGTTGAGATGATTGAAAGTGGCAGCCAAAGGAGTGAGTGCATCTATGAGCACTACCTCCTTGGAGATGGAGTATTAATATCGGCTCGCGTGCAGATGTTATAGATGGAAAGTTGCATCGCAAGACCGCGCGAGGTGATTACAGGTTTTGGACGGCTTCTTCCAGCGACAGTGGATAGATGATCGCTAATGATCACGATGATAATGACGATGTTGTGTGTTGCTCCTCAGGGTGATGCATGATGAGGTGAGTGAAACGGAGAACATCAGAAAAAGCCTGGCCATCGAGAGGATGATTGTGGAAGGCTGCGACATCCTGTTGGACTCCAGCCAAACCTTTGTGCGGCAAGGTGCCTCCTACACACTTCGGCACGACGCTTGCATCTACACACGCGCGCAGTGGTTGCCTTAGTGACAATCAATGACCGAGAAGCATTTCTCTGATAATTGCAGCAAAAGCAGATTTAAATACCGCAATTGTCAGCTTGCAATGCATTAAGGTCACCAAGGCAATACTACTTAGCATTGTCCTCCAAAATCCATGCTTTTTATAACACGGACTGCTTTTAACTACCAGAGGTGCACGTGACGAGAATGTTTAATCTTGATTTGAAGCTTTCGTGACTGCCGGAATCCATACTCTTTGGTTCTTTCGGTAAAGTCACGTAGGTATAAAATTAAATCAATCACGGCGTTTCGGGCGCAACACAAGCGTCCGTCATCAGGTGGGAGAGAGTGCCTGAGTGCATCGTGCCGTGCAAGTAAAGAAGAATACAGAACCTGTTACTTCTTATTTGATCTTTCCCTAAATTGGCCACGAACGTTAAGATTTCACAGTGGCGCACAGGTGGTTGTTTTTGAGACGCTGCTTTAGGGGCCTCGACTTTAATAGGCTGCTGCGGAGTGACAATGCCGGGCCAGGCATCGGTGCGCTCCGGTGGGCAACATGAAGCGGACCTCTCGCATGGGTCTCTCGCATGCACGCACGCGCGACGCTTGACCTCGAGCATCCGTCGCACTCTTAAAATTCAGGGAGCATAGCGAGCGCTCGTGAACACTATGACGCCGCAACAGAACGCGACAAACGCGGCGGAATGAATGGGGGGGGGCAAATTTGAAGTAATGAACACGATGCAATGCGGTGATAAATTTGATCCCGTGAAGGGGGGAAAACCCCCATGGTTTTAACGGATCAAAATCCAACGCTTCCACAAACGGTGCCTTGTAGCGAGATAAGATAAGCTTTTAAATGTTAATGTCAAATTTGAAAGAAAAAAAAAACGTTCCGTGATATTTTATGCTTCTCACACATGGAATGACACTGCATATGTGTTTTATTTAATGGCATCCTTTTCATTAAAAAAAAATCAAGTGTGTACATGCCGTCAGAGTCAATTATTGGCAATAATTTATGCATTTTACATTCGCAGGCACTATTCTGTGAAAGATTTCAAATGATTCCGTGTTGTTTAGTTGACAACTTGGAGTCCACCGTTCTCACGTAAACAGCTTTGATAATCTTACATTTCACCATTTATTTTTTTGTTTTTTATGCCATATTTTTTTCAAATCGTACTGTTCATTATTAAATAACAACACAAATGTTGATTCTGCTTTGGCAGTAGTGCACAAATGACACAAACGCAACACATTGTTAGTGACAAATGTGTTTAATAGTTTGTCTCTTCTGCATCATTTAGATGTATATGTCGAAATTTGACGTTATTTTAGTTTTATTCAACTCAAAACAAAAGACCACTGGTATCGTCACACTGGTATCATCACACGCCACAGGCAGTTACAAACAAATATATATATCTACCTGCTTAGTAGGCTAACGTTTCAGGCAACATCCTTCCTTCAGAGCAAATAAAGCTTCAAATATAACTATTTGACAGTGTGACAGTTCAGGAATACAATCTGGTACCTTGATAGTCCAGAAGTTAAAGTGACTTCCTGCTCAAATGAGCTTTGAGGCAGGGCTCAACCTCCTGTTTACAGCCCCCAAGCAAATGGTGGCAATTCAAAACTTTCCCACGGTGGTGTGGACTCTCTCCATAGGACAACCATTTGGTGACTTCCCCACAAATCGGTGCAGGTTTCATTGACGCCCCCCCCAGATGGATTATGGGCTGAGTCAATCACCACAACCAGGATTTGAAACTCACGACCTTCAATCACCACAACCAGGATTTGAAACTCACGACCTTCCAAAGGCGAGGTTATTTCTCTACTGCTTTTGGCGAAAGCAAACGGCAAGATAAGTTGATAATTGAGTAAGCAAACAAACTCTTAAGTGGTCAGATATACACATGTAAAATTATTTATGTTCAAGTAGTACCGTACATCAATTATAAATATCAAAACCGTGTGATGAAAGACACGTGTGTGTGTGTGTGTGAAGCTGTTGTTGTTATTGACGTTGTTCAATTGCCATTTTTATGTTATTAAGTCAGCTGGTCCAATTTGTTCATTGGAAAGTTAATTGACAATTGCACAAAAAAACTGTTGTACTTTTACATTTGTGTGCATCTGTATAAATGCTCGTGTGCATTTGTGTACACACGCTTACACATGTGTGTGTACCTGGACGTGTGTGTGTATGTCCAGACACCATATCTGCTATAGCAGAGGTGTAGGGAATCAGAACAGGATGTACGTGTCTTGCTTTATTGACCTGCTCAATGCCGATTAAACCATCAAGAGGCCAGGGCTTAGGGTCGTTCTGTATGATTTCACATTCTTTCACCCCAACCCTACTCACGATAATTAAGGACTTCCATGATGCTGCGTGGGCCCTGGTAATGCTGCATGGCCAGCAGTCAGGGTCACTCCCTGTTCACCTTAGACTGCGACGGAGGGATGAGGTTGACTACATCCCTTCCTCGCATGTCACGCTGACCTTAATTGGTATGTCGGAGGTTGTGGGTTCGTTCATGACCCTGACGCCTTTATATTTGGAGTTTGCATTTTCTCACCCGTGGTCTGCGTAGATTCTTCTCCGGGTCCTCCGGTTTTTCCCTCCACACTTGTAAACATGCGTTTAGAGTATTTGGCTGCTATAGATGTCCACATGATAAGCTCTTCATTGGGCTATCATTTGTCGCTTCTGAATAATATCTATATAGTCTCAGTGGGCCTTACCTGGTAAAATAAAAATTAATTACTTTAGTTTTAGTTTAATTGGTCTTCACTTACAGTGATTTCCCCAAGTTTAATGTAGGATATTTGGCTTGGCAAATCGGCATATCTGTGCCCGTGTATGAAAATAAATGTACAATTCCAAAACAAATTGAGACGTTACATTTGTGTGTGCTTGCAAATCGGTTAATGTGTACGTATGCAAGTGTGTGCATTTACATGCATGGGTACCTGCACGTGCACATATGTGAATATCTGCATGTATTATGTATGTATGGGGTTTATGTGTAATAGTCTTCTGTGGTTGTTTGGGGGAGCGGTAGTGTAGTGGTTAGCACACTGCGCGACAAACCTTGTGACCCGAGTTCGATTCCCAACCATAGCCAACATCGGTGACGAATATCTGAACCGGTCCTGGGTCTCCGCGTGGGTTGTCTCAAGTCTTAAATGAGTGCCTGGTGGTGCTCTTTAAACATCAGCATTGTGGGTCACATTGGGCCGTGCCGGGTGTCCCATGCGTCCTCGCTCAGGGCACGTGCCCCAAAAGTCTGTTCAAGGCTAAACGCCGGGTGAACCGTTGTCTTTGCGGTCGCATGCAGGCTCCCTTATCCAGGTGCCGTCGGTGGAGCGGGGAAGGATCTCCCGTGGGCGGCTCGTGTCCTTGACGCTGAAGAAGGAGGGTGAGCGTCAGTGCTTCCTCTTCACCAAGCACCTCCTCATTTGCACGCGCAGCTCGGGCGGGAAGCTGCACCTGGTCAAGGTACGGCCACGCGCAGGCACGCACGTGCATACAATGACAAAGATTCCCCAGTACAGCCTTGACATGCTGCCGGGGCAAGTGCGGTGAGCGAGCACCTATGAAAGCCCGGCCGCCTTTGCCTCCCTAGCGGCGATGTTTGCACACCTCACCTGGGTGCTCATTTGAGGCTGAGTCGACCTAGGGGAGGCCCAGGACCGATTGAGATCATCGTCACTGTGAGCGAGAATCGAACTCGGGTCATCGGGTTCGGAGCCGCAGCGCGTTAACCGCCACATGTACGCCCACACAAAGCCACGTGCAAACACACACGCACACTCACTCAAATACACAAACACACACGCCCACAAAAATGCACACACACACACCCGCACGCACAAACACACATATATATACACACACACAAGAACATCAGTGCTTGTGCCAGGCTAGATTCCCTTTGAGGCCACGTGAAGTCGCCGAAGCCTCACTGACAGTAGGTCACGGGAGAGACCCGGGTGCCATGGGATGACTGACTAAGATGACTGGCAGATGCGACACGTGCTCCCTACTGTGCCAACTTGCTGTATTTTATCCATCCGGGACTCTGCCCGTTGTTGTGTACCTCCTCTGAATTGTGAGTGTTGTTCCCATTGTTGTCCGAGGGCGACTGCCTCCAAGTGCCTAGGAGAGTCTTTCACGAGTCTCCTCCACAGAGGACGATCTTGACACCGCTGGTACCAGTCATCAGCAAGTCCACTCAGCTCCACATTCTCCCTTAACCACATGAGCCCGTCTCTTCTGTAGTCCGTGCCATGCCCGTTTAGCTCCTTCTATGAGGCCAAAGAGAAGCTGCTTGGGCATGTGGCGGCTGGGCATACGGGCTACATGACCCAGCCAATGCAGCCTTGCCTGCCGGAGGAACCCATCAATGGGACGATGTCCAGATCTTTAAAGAATCTGTGCACTCCTCACACAATCCAGCCTGTGTTAAACCCAGAATAGATCATAGATAGACCAGGCAGAATGTTTCAAACTGTCACAGATGTTCCTTCAGAAAGATCCAGGTTTTGTTCGCACAAAAAACAAAGTCAAACACACACACACACGCATACATACATACAATTATACATACACACCCATGCACATCCACTCTCACACAAACAAACACCCACACTAATGCACTGACATGCACCCACGCATGCGTAATTTTACTTTTATATGTTCACTATTCTCACGAAGCAGAAAAGAGCAAGGACACCAAGAGCATCCCAGTAGGCACTCAACGTGAACCAATTGTGAAAAGAATATAGAAGAATTATCATTTATAGCAATTTCCAAATCCACTGCTGGATGAACGCCTCCCCACAAAGTCTTGGGGGTTGTCCAACCGTACTTGGCGATGATAGTGCTGGTTGGTGTGAGGTGTAGACCCAGGATCAGTGCAGATAGCACTCGCCACTGATGTTGTTGGCAGTGCCTGGGAATCGAAACAGGTTCACAGTGCAGTGAAGTAACCGCTGTACAAACCACCACTCCTCTGCATTGCCCCATTGGTATGATCGTATTCTTCGGTACGCCTACAAGCGCATTAGCGTGTGCCTGATTGGCGCGGGTGAGCGTACACGCTGAATGCACATGTCAAATCACCCACGTTTTTCTTGGTGGGTCTCAATTTTTTAGCTGGAGCAAAAACAAGAAGGCTTGCGTTTTCAGTCTGCGAGTGCCAGAGGCAGGGACGGGGACAAACATGAGTGAGGTCAATCATTTATGTGAGCCCTCATCAAAGCGTGTCGAGTAGATTTAAAGCGATCAGAATGGAAAACTATCAATCACTCAATTAATTGTGGTGGCCTCACCTGATGATGTGGGCACCTTTGGAGACAACTGTGGTGGCTCGTTTTTTACTCCAACTTGGATCCGTGTCAACGATTGATTTTCATCTTTTATGATGCGAAGGTTATGTTGTTCCTGTGAGACAAAGTCCATAGCACCTTTTTACTATTATTATTATGTTTGTAATTAACGACTGCAGCCCTTTGTCAAATCCGCTACTGTGTGTGCCGTTGAATCTACAAGAGGTCTGTTTGACCATACTTCCCCATGCTCGCCAGTGCTCGTCGGTTAAGGGGGAGCTCACGAATGGTTCAGGCATCGCTCGCCATAGAGCGGTGCCTTCACCACTATCCCACCGCTCCTCCCATTCAATTCGTATGAATGCTTACTTACTGAAAATGTATCATGGTGTTATGCAACGTGAATATTGCATAGTTTATCAATATTGTCTGACCTTGGATTGAAGTTTATAATCAAGACAGTTCTAATATTATCACCGTCAATAGCAAGAGAGAGAGGCAATTATGGAAGGTAAATTAAACTCGTATAGTTTCCATTCCCTTCTCTGGCAAAGCTGAATTCCTAATACAGCCAAATGTAGTGGATGAAGCGTCTACGCACAATCCAGATGTCATGCCCGATGGAAAGTGTTTCTTGACGAATTAGTCAAAGTATATTTGTCTCTTTCAGACTGGAGGAGTTCTGTCTCTCATTGAATGCACCCTAATAGAAGACAATGAGACTTCAGAAGATGAATGTAAGTGCCGTTCGCTGGCGTTGCTTGTTGTTGTTGTTAAAAACAAACGTGCTCAATTTCCAAATCGGTTATTAATGTGGTAATAATACATTGTAAGCAAACTCTCTTTTTTATCAAACCATGTTTTTATAGTCTTCATCTTTGCTCAAGCGGAGTGAAAGTCCATTGCAATTGACGTTCTTATTTCCAAACGGGGTGCTCGGGAAAAACGTGTCACTCGCAAGCACAACCGAATCACTATTACACAGCACATAGAAAAAGTTATTGGAATAACAAAACGGAATAAATATAATGACAGAGAGTTCACAAGTATTTTATTTCATCGCAGGCATGGAATAAGCTGCTTCGGTCATTTCCTCCAACTGCGGCGTATGCAGGGTCTACATGTGTTGTGTGTGTGTCATGTGTATGTATGTATGTGTCTCGTGTGTGTGTGTGTCATGTGTATGTATGTGTATCGTGTGTGTGTGTGTGTCATGTGTATGTATGTGTCTTGTGTGTGTGTGTGTCATGTGTATGTATGTGTCTCGTGTGTGTGTGTCATGTGCATGTATGTGTATCGTGTGTGTGTGTGTCATGTGCATGTATGTGTATCGTGTGTGTGTCATGTGTATGTATGTGTCTCGTGTGTGTGTGTCATGTGTATGTATGTGTCTTGTGTGTGTGTGTCATGTGTATGTATGTGTCTCGTGTGTGTGTGTCATGTGCATGTATGTGTATCGTGTGTGTGTGTGTCATGTGCATGTATGTGTATCGTGTGTGTGTGTGTCATGTGTATGTATGTGTCTCGTGTGTGTGTGTCATGTGTATGTATGTGTCTCGTGTGTGTGTGTCATGTGTATGTATGTGTATCGTGTGTGTGTGTCATGTGTATGTATGTGTCTCGTGTGTGTGTGTCATGTGCATGTATGTGTATCGTGTGTGTGTCATGTGTATGTATGTGTCTCGTGTGTGTGTCATGTGTATGTATGTGTATCGTGTGTGTGTGTGTCATGTGTATGTATGTGTATCGTGTGTGTGTGTCATGTGTATGTATGTGTCTCGTGTGTGTGTGTGTGTCATGTGTATGTATGCGTCTCGTGTGTGTGTGTCATGTGCATGTATGTGTATCGTGTCTGTGTGTGTGTCATGTGTATGTATGTGTATTGTGTGTGTGTGTCATGTGTATGTATGTGTCTCATGTGTGCGTGTCATGTGCATGTATGTGTATCGTGTGTGTGTGTCATGTGTATGTATGTGTCTCGTGTGTGTGTGCCATGTGCATGTATGTGTATCGTGTGTGTGTCATGTGTATGTATGTGTCTCGTGTGTGTGTCATGTGTATGTATGTGTCTCGTGTGTGTGTGTCATGTGTATGTATGTGTCTCGTGTGTGTGTGTCATGAGCATGTATGTGTCTCGTGTGTGTGTGTATCATGTGTATGTATGTGTCTCGTGTGTGTGTGTCATGTGTATGTATGTGTATCGTGTGTGTGTGTCATGTGTATGTATGTGTATCGTGTGTGTGTGTCATGTGTATGTATGTGTCTCGTGTGTGTGTGTCATGTGTATGTATGTGTATCGTGTGTGTGTGTCATGTGTATGCATGTGTATCGTGTGTGTGTGTGTCATGTGTATGTATGTGTATCGTGTGTGTGTGTCATGTGTATGTATGTGTCTCGTGTGTGTGTGTCATGTGTATGTATGTGTATCGTGTGTGTGTGTCATGTGTATGCATGTGTATCGTGTGTGTGTGTCATGTGTATGTATGCTGTTCTCCCCGTTGCATTCATCAATATTAGTCAGTGCTTGTTCATGTCAAATGGCAGACTCGTTCGCAACAACACGCATTGCTCTATTCAAAATATTGTTTCGCGAACCCTTTTGTTGACGGTGTTGTGCTGTTGTCTTTCACCCACACCTGTGATTAGCACGGTTGGCTACGTATGGTGCGAAAGAAGTTCAACATAATACGTACATTAAAACACTTCATGTGATCGCTGATCCAAGGGGGGAAAGAAAGAAGAGTGACGTCGGTTACATTTGTACAGCTGCGAAAGCATAAAACACAAGTTTGGTGGAGTATTATTATTTAGCGCTGCCTTACGAAAGTTTGTTTCAGTTGCATCCCTGTAGTTACCTGCCGATGCCCCCCATAGAGCGTATTTGGCCTCCTCTTCCAATCTTGTTGCCTCATATATTCATTTCCGCACCTCTGATTCGCACGGTTGGCCACGCACGGCGCGAAGGAAGTTCAACAAACCTACGTACGTCCATTCGCATTAACAAGGGCTTGTCGATGACATCGCGCGGGGGAAAGTTAAATGCGGAACATCTGGATTTTGTTGGTGCAGCAAAGGGCGCAATCGGCTCAGACATGGAACACCTGGATTTCAAGGTGGCCGTGGAGCCCAAGGATGCGGCGGCCTTCACGGTGGTGCTCCTGGCCTCCTCTCGCCAAGAGAAAGCGGCCTGGACCAGCGACATTAGTCAGGTGAAGAAGGTCACTCTTGCCTTGCCCGCCGCGGTGCTCATGGCCTCTTGCCGGCGGGACGATGCCGCGTTGTGCGCTGACGTAAGCTGCAATTACGGTTGCCACCTCTAATCTAGGAGGAGTCTCTCACAGTGCCGTAAGATGGGGAGACATACGTGCAGAGAGAGGCATTGTCTTGAGTGGTGTGTCATTATTATTATTATTATGACGCAACTGACAAACGAATTCGGTTTTAATGTAATGGGAAGACTTAGGGGTTTCCCAGGACAGCTACCTCAGGATGTTTTGGGAAAACCGGGACAGGTCGCAACCCTGGAAGTGATGAAGGACCACAAACGATTCACTGGAAATTAGCAATCAGGATTGAGGGTTTGGGATAAGGCTTAAGGTTTAGTCTTGCGGTTAGAGATATGGTGATGGTTCTTGCAGAGATATATATGTTAGAGCCACGCTTGGAAATGTTGTGAACGAATGACACATCTGTCAAGTGTTATTGGTTAATGTAACTGGCAGCAACACTCTCTCTGGGGATAATCTCTCACATCATACCACTAAGTCTAATAGTAAGCCGAACCCTCGACTGAACACACTACCCGTTTTAAACGTTATGCCAAATTAGACAGGAACGCTATCGAATTCATGAGTTTGAAGTAAATAGGTTGTGTTGTTGTTCAGTCACGCACATTGAAACTTATTATACAAATTCTAAATGACCGGCTATTGTGGCAGATTTTAAAAGCATGAAACACTGATTGGAATTGTGTCAATGTCGATTTTTTTTTCTTTCACAATGGAGATCTTATATCTCGAAAAAAGCACGCAATCCAGGTGCATTGACATGAGGCTTCTCTGGATGTGGACTTTGTTTCTATATTTTGTGACTAGAATACCATCCGTTAATTAAACGTGACTTCTTTCAGTGCATCGACAACATCCGTTGCAACGGGCTGATGATGAACGTATTTGAAGACAGCTCCAAAGTGACCGTTCCACCGGTCATAAAGTAAGGCATTATTTACGAATAAATAATCAAGTTTACATTAAATCGATATATTTTTTTTTCATTGTAAAACCCACACAAGCATGCGATCATTCTATTTTTATTACTTCATACAAATTCCAGGAATAGTATTTGTAAGTAAAAAAAAAGGTTAGTTGGTAAGATATAAAAATGTTCTCGATGTCGGGTGTATTATATATGTGTAAATATACAAAAAAGCGCCTTAAAATGATAGCCTCTATGTCAGCAAAAAAGTTAAAATCAACGACGTTAATTTATTCCTGTTAATAGATGAAACTAAAACGAGCCAACTTTGTTGAGTCGATATCCTAATATTACTGCCTAGGATTTCGCGTTTGTGCTATATTGCTCTATAATTATTTTCTGGTTGTACCGTGCGTTAAAGCTAACGATTGACATCGGCTGGTCCATATCAAACACCAGCAGCAGCCGGCAACTCTCCAATTGAGTAGCTGAGCTGCTCCACTCAGTTCCAGAGGATGCTCCCAGCACGTGGAGCGAAACGTCAGACATCGTGCCGAAAAACACACCATCTATTTCGCGAACGCTCTTTCACGCGACTTCCCGCACACAGTCAAACACAGAAGCTCGGAGAGCTTCTCCTCGTCCGAACGTCGCAATACATGACGCGTGTGACGTTTGTCCCCTGTCTTCGCCGTGCCTCATAACGAAGGTCAGACACCACGCTGTATTTGGACGATGTCGACATCCGATTCAGCAAGACGCTGAATTCCTGCAAGGTGCCTCACATCCGCTATTCGAGCGTGGAAAAGCTGCTGGAGCGGCTCACGGATCTACGTTTCCTCAGCATCGACTTCCTCAACACCTTCCTGCACACGTACCGCGTGTTCACCACAGCACAGGCCGTGCTGGAGAAGCTAATGGACATCTATCGCTGGCCTCTCAAGGCCATCTCCCCACGGTGGGCCCTGCGCTAAACGAACCTCGCATTCCTAACTGTTGAGCAACATGCGTGCGGTGAAATGTCAAATTATAAAGTGAATCTCTCTCTCTGAGCTGTGGGTTTTCTGGAGGTAAAAAAAAATAGTGGTCTGTCTGGCTTTGAGAGTTCATGTGGTTGTCAAATTTTGCAATGCCGTGTTCATAAAGTCCGCTAAAATGCATTTTTGTATGAATCCTCAATTTTTCACGTTACTTATTTAGATATGTTCGTAGCTTAAGGGTCAGTGGTGGTGCTATCCCATTGAGAGCCCAGAGCAGAAAAAATGTTTTTGCCCGCCAACTCTTTTCTGTTTAAAAACTCCAAATGAGATGGCAAAAGGGATGTCACTGTAGTGAAATGTTTGAGGTGTAGATAAGAGACTAATGTTGTGAAATCAGAGCCGACATACATCCTAAAGGTATATCTGCTCTCATTCCCCCTTCGCAACGTCCTCAGATCTCTGGAATTGTTCTTTGCCAACTCTTCGGGAGGCCGGCTGGGCTGCAACGAACCTGCGCGCTCGCCTAAGCCTCTTCGCAGCCTCCCCTCCACTCCGCTCGTGGCCTCCTCGCCGGTGCGGAGCCGCCACTCGCCGCTGGGCGCCGTGCCGACCATCGGCAGCGGCGGCTTCCAGGCGCTCGACTTGTCCCTGGCTGGCGCAGCCGACGCTCACGGCACAGCCGCGGGGCCTCCAGCCTCCGTGCCCTCGCCGGCACATGCACCGTCGCCTTTGGATCTCACCACGGTGGGCATCGTGGAGGAGGGAAGCGGGGACAAAGGCCCAGTGGAGGCGGAGAGCCTCCTCAAGAAGAGCTTCAGACACGGTTAGTTGATAAGATGGTGAGGAAGTTGGGGGTGGGTGGTTGGGTGGGTGGGGTGGGTTGGGGGTGGTATTACGATGGACGTCCCAGTACCTGGCTGTCCCTGGAATCTAAACAAGAGTCTTGGGAATCGGCGTGTCTGTCTTACAGCCTTGCCCAATTCAAGAAATATGTTACCGGAACTCTGCAAATTATTAAATGCACTTTTCCCCACGGAATTTTGAAGCAAAAGTTGGGGCTGTGTCTAATAATTCAGTCGGTGTGTGTGTGTGTGAGCTGATTTGTGTAATGGCTTGCCATGTTACGGAGCTATATAAATTGTCGTCATTATTTGTTGCCTTCGGGCACAAGGTTGGTCTGTGTCGTTCTTTCCACTGTTTGGTGATTAGAGGATACATGAACTCTCATTTAAACATCTTCAATCGTGCTGTATGTTGCTGACCGCTTTGAATTTTGGGTCTTTAGTGACTGAGCTCAGTAACTGTGATGCTTTGAAATTTAATGAACCAGTGGTGTACATTCTACACTGCTATGGCAGGGACCGATTTATCCGTGGGGCATCTGCTGTTTTGTGTGTGTGTGTGTGGATAGTTAAGGGCCTATAGCTGTAATATGATAATGATGGGGCTGACATTCCAAGAAACACATCACTGGGTTCTGAAATGTCTTTCTCGGACTGCATAATGGCTCAATGTTGGCCGGTAGAGTCATGCCAACTGCCCGAGAAAAAATATATATAATAATAATGATGAATGATGGTATGTACATTCTTGATTTGTATGTACATTATATTTTTGCACAAGTTATCTTAGGCAAATCATCTCATTGCCGATGACACTTTTAGCTTTAAAAATTATAGCAGTTTTTTTTCTGTGGTGAATTTTTATTTTGTGAATGGAAATGTGAATGGAAATTATTATACGTATGGGAAATTTAAACACATTAATGTGTGGCTGTTTAATTCTGTCTGAATACACATTTAAGTAAAACAAACGTCTACATTACAGCATACATCTATCAACATTTTAATCCTCCCCGTGTGGTTATGTCTCATTTAAATTCGTGTCTTGTGTGCGTTTATATCATGTGAGTGTCAGTGCGTGCTTATGTGTACGTATGTGTGATCTCGTGTGTATGTGTGTGCACTGCGTGGGGTGTGAAGCGATGAGTGCAGGGCTGTTGGGACGACCTGGAGTAGAATTAAGCGACACTGCCAAAGCTGCAGAGTCTCCCACGAGATCCCCAGCGAGCCCACGACACCTGTACTGCCTCTCAGCAGGTGAGACACCACGACACCTGTACTGCCTCTCAGCAGGTGAGACACCACGACACCTGTACTGCCTCTCAGCAGGTGAGACACCACGGCACCTGTACTGCCTCTCAGCAGGTGAGACACCACGGCACCTGTACTGTCTCTGGGCAGGTGAGACACCACGACACCTGTACTGTCTCTCAGCAGGTGAGACACCACGACACCTGTACTGCCTCTGGGCAGGTGAGACACCACGGCACCTGTACTGTCTCTGGGCAGGTGAGACACCACGGCACCTGTACTGTCTCTCAGCAGGTGAGACACCACGACACCTGTACTGCCTCTGGGCAGGTGAGACACCACGACACCTGTACTGCCTCTGGGCAGGTGAGACACCACGACACCTGTACTGTCTCTAGGCAGGTGAGACACCACGGCACCTGTACTGTCTCTGGGCAGGTGAGACACCACGGCACCTGTACTGTCTCTAGGCAGGTGAGACACCACGGCACCTGTACTGTCTCTGGGCAGGTGAGACACCACGGCACCTGTACTGTCTCTGGGCAGGTGAGACACCACGGCACCTGTACTGTCTCTGGGCAGGTGAGACACCACGACACCTGTACTGCCTCTCAGCAGGTGAGACACCACGACACCTGTACTGCCTCTCAGCAGGTGAGACACCACGGCACCTGTACTGTCTCTAGGCAGGTGAGACACCACGACACCTGTACTGTCTCTGGGCAGGTGAGACACCACGACACCTGTACTGTCTCTGGGCAGGTGAGACACCACGACACCTGTACTGCCTCTCAGCAGGTGAGACACCACGACACCTGTACTGCCTCTCAGCAGGTGAGACACCACGGCACCTGTACTGTCTCTAGGCAGGTGAGACACCACGGCACCTGTACTGTCTCTGGGCAGGTGAGACACCACGACACCTGTACTGCCTCTCAGCAGGTGAGACACCACGACACCTGTACTGCCTCTCGGCAGGTGAGACACCACGACACCTGTACTGTCTCTGGGCAGGTGAGACACCACGACACCTGTACTGCCTCTCAGCAGGTGAGACACCACAGCACCTGTACTGCCTCTGGGCAGGTGAGGCACCACGGCACCTGTACTGTCTCTGGGCAGGTGAGACACCACGACACCTGTACTGTCTCTGGGCAGGTGAGACACCACGGCACCTGTACTGTCTCTGGGCAGGTGAGACACCACGGCACCTGTACTGTCTCTGGGCAGGTGAGACACCACGACACCTGTACTGTCTCTCAGCAGGTGAGACACCACAGCACCTGTACTGTCTCTGGGCAGGTGAGACACCACGACACCTGTACTGTCTCTGGGCAGGTGAGACACCACGGCACCTGTACTGTCTCTGGGCAGGTGAGACACCACGACACCTGTACTGTCTCTCAGCAGGTGAGACACCACAGCACCTGTACTGTCTCTAGACAGGTGAGACACCACGACACCTGTACTGTCTCTGGGCAGGTGAGACACCACGGCACCTGTACTGTCTCTCAGCAGGTGAGACACCACAGCACCTGTACTGTCTCTGGGCAGGTGAGACACCACGACACCTGTACTGCCTCTAGGCAGGTGAGACACCACGGCACCTGTACTGTCTCTCGGCAGGTGAGACACCACGACACCTGTACTGCCTCTCGGCAGGTGAGACACCACGACACCTGTACTGCCTCTCGGCAGGTGAGACACCACGGCACCTGTACTGCCTCTCAGCAGGTGAGACACCACAGCACCTGTACTGCCTCTCGGCAGGTGAGACACCATAGCACCTGTACTGTCTCTGGGCAGGTGAGACACCACGGCACTCCCATGCACCTGCTGGATATCAGTGACACACTTGATGTGAGACACCGTAGAGATTCAATTAAGGTGCAGCCCTGCAATGTCTGTCCTCTCACCACTACTGTCAGAAGGGCCTCCGCTAGAGGGAGCTCGAGAGAGCCCCCTGCAGTGGGTATTTGGCCTTCTCTTCCACACTGGCCAGACGTGTTGGAGGAAGAGTTGGGCAGTACCTACACATTACCCTACTGCACGTGTCGGCTGCGTTGTTCAGATATGTCAAAAATAAACGTGAATATTGAATCGAGAATGACGTGAGAAGATGGACTTCTTTTCATCCCCAGTGGTGTCTGAATCCTTAATTTGTGAGTGCATAATTTTACGGAATTAACCTGTTCGATAACAAGCTGTTCGATCACAGTAAAGCACACAATCTACACCTGTAAGGAAATCAATCATTGCTCAGTAATCCATGTATCAATATGGTCTGGGCATGAATTCTTGGACATTATTAGAGGTGGTGCTGATTTACATTGTCTTACTCGTTCCCTCTGCACTGCATAAACATGCAGGCACATCCAATATCTCAGTAGGTCACTTTTACCACTGATGCCGCTGTGGGGGATTCAAATAAATTGAACCAAACAGCCTGCATGCAATAAAGATGCAACGGCATATATATTACTGACACATCAAGCTTCATGCATTTTGATATCAAGTTCTAAAGTGCAATAAAACAAACACCCTGAGCCCACCAAATAGGTCATTGATATGCGTTTTGTGTGAACTGTTTGCATATAGGAATTGACCATAATAATACAAATAGAGTAGAATTATGATCAAGTTCTACTTATACAGCCTACACACTTATCCAGGAGGATCCTGTTTGAGGCTGTTTGGTCATTTTCTTGTTGAGTGTGGAAGAAACATGAATTATGCCTGCATGTGGGTATTTCCCGCATGTGCAGATCTCTTTGTGATCCACCAACTATATCTTCTAAGCATTGCAATTGCTTATGCACCAGCACATCCAGCAGAGAGCAGAAACCGTCAACAAATATTGTTTCCATTTTTTCATGCTCCCTTCATTGGCAGTGTGTGTTAATGAAGGCTACATTTAAAGTAAACACTATTTAATTCGCAAACAGATAATGGCCTCTCTGTCAAAGCCTGTTGATCACCCATTGGCTAGCCTTAATCTATATAGTCATCAGCAAACCCTGTCTTAAAAGCACTGCATTTCTAGCCACATCGAGGAAATAGTGACAAACATGAAACCAATTGTCTGTTTGATTCATACTTCCTGTTAAAAGCTAAAAGGTGTAGCCCTGAAATGTCTTGCTCATGCCACTGCTGGCAAAATGCCCTCAAGAGTCCTCTCTCGAGGGCATTTGCCCTCCTCGTCCACACCGGCCAGTCGTCTTGCACGATGACATATTCAAAGTGAGCAGAAAAACTCTCCGACCCCTGCTTGACTGAAGAGCACAGAATTGCAACGACGTCACAAGTAGGGCAGTCGCGAGAGGCAACTGCGGCAGTGGCGGGGAAGACGATGGGGGCCCGGCGGACGGTCTCCGGGGAGGCCCCCTGCGTTGACAGGCAGGAGCTCGTGGCCCCTCTCGTTCAGCGGCGGCCGCGTTCCTCGCCCGCGGGGCGTCCGGCCTCGGCGTTCCGTAACGGACGGCCCCTTCCACCCCCACCCCCCCCCGGCTCCCACCTGCCGCCCCACGCCGCAGACATCTCGCTGCTGCACCTGAACAGCGGCGGGTCGGGCTCGGGCGTAGTGGCGGCCAGCTCGCGCGAGGTCGACAACCACCTGCGCTCCGTGACGGCCGTGTCCGCCTTCGCCATCGCCACGGCCGGCGCCAACCACGGCAGCCCGGCGCACGACGGCCTCGCGGGACCCCCCACGCACGAGGAGCGCCTGCGCAGACACTCGCTCAACGGTGAACGGAAGCCCGACAACAGCAGCAAAAATAAAACAAATGAATCACCCACCCAGCGTCTCTCTCTCTCTCTCGCCCCCGTTGGTAAAAGTCACGGGCTCGGTGTTAGCGGCGGCGGTGGCTTCGCAGCGATGGACAGCTTCAGGTTAACCGGGAGCCAGCTCAGTTCACCATTCATCGTCGTTGTCGTCATCATCCACGATCAATCTGTTGCCGGATGAAGGCCCCCACGAGCAAATGGCATCATCGCTCATAATCGCGCAATGTAAATAATCCACCTTGCACCTGCACGCGAGCTGATTTCATCGCTCCATCTCTATTCGGTGGACGTTCTCGCGAACACATTCTATTCCTTCCCCGCCAGTCCGTCAATCTTCTTGACCATGGGCCATCATCCCTTCGAGTGACATCTACTGCCCAAGCGCTCTTACTTTTCTCAACAGTTTTAATTAAGTCCTTGAAGTAATGCTTTTAAAATTGCATGAGCCGTGACCAATAACTCTAATGTTATGAGTGGTGATAAAAAAATGTAAATGTGGAATATTGCTGATCAAAATGTCAAGATAATGAGATATATGAAATTGCCCAAACTAACGAGATTTTCGATTATCATCTTTTGCATGCACTACTCATCATGTATAATTGTTCACATGGTGTTCATGAAGACCATTTAAACTTGGAAGTGTTACGTTTTAATTGACAAAAGGATAATGTCCATCTCTAAAAACCGGTTCACCGATTGACTAGCCTTTCTTTAGTTTATACCAAGAGAAAATACATACCTGCCGAGTCTTTGGTTATTTCGGTAAAGTCACGTAGGTGACTTTACTGCTGAGGCAAGACCATGGCTTTCCCACCTGATGATGGACGCTTGTGTTGCGCCCGAAACGTCGTGATTTATTTTACTTTATACCTACGTGACTTTACCGAAAGAACCAAAGAGTATGGATTCCTGCAGTCACGGAGGCTTCAAATCAAGATTGATACCTGCAGAGCTTCATTTCTCACAGAATCTGTTCCGAGTCATTGTTAAGACTGTAGTAGGCATGTGACGAATATCCACAGCCATAAGCCCGAGGTATACTGGATGCGGTGTGCCGTGTACAAATATATTTTGTATGGATCACTGACATAGACAGGTCCAGCTGACATCAATCGCCATATACCTGGCTAATAATACGACTCATTAGCAATGCCACGCATCCAAGGCTCCAACCCTCACTTTCTGTTTGGTTGAAGAAATAAAAAAAACTATATTTAATGTATTCAGTCAATGTAGGTATAGTCACTGAAGGATCATCACATTTCATATGCACGCCACGTAACAGCAGCACTGGGGTCACCATCAGTCATTGTGGGGGGGGGGGGGGGTTATTCCCGAGAGACCCAATAATCCTCACAAAAACTTGAATACCTTTGTCAGTAAACACTGCCTTAAAAGGAAAATATATAATAGTCAACATTTGGGGCAATGGTCCTTCATAGCACAATTATGCTTAAAATCACCACCTTAATTATCCACAATGGCCACATTTACAAGGACTCACACCAACACGGCATGACTACTACTAAGCGGTGGGCCATCGTGTAAAATGTGCAACAGCCCATTGCATGGACGGACATGCGGGTGTTTATTTAACAGACCAGCAAACCTTGGACAAGGAGTTTGCGATCCGACGGGCTGCCAAGAACCGTGTCTTGAACGTGATGCGCCACTGGGTTTTCAAACACTCACAGGTTTGTGAAGCACTGCTCGAAATGGGGAAAGTCACAAAACAGAGATGTTCCATATTCTACAGATTATAAGATGCACCCCCCCCCACTCCCATCTTTCAAAGTTAAATTGGGGGGGGGGGGTGAATTGTATAATAACCCGGTTGGTGAATGTGTATGAACAGATTTGTTCAACTTCCCGGATACCAGGTACAAGTTTGGGGTCTGTCTTTTCGGAGTGTATTATGACAATCACAATAGCATGGCCAGTTGTTCATGATTATTGCATATATTCTTAATGAATATTTCCAATATTAATATTGCATAAATATTTGGTGTTTTGTTAGGTCATAGTTTGAACTACATCAACATCATGTTATTTATTCAGACGAGACACTATATGGATGGCTGGACCACATGGGTTTATTTTTTTCCTCACAGGTATCGAACTATACCTCACATGTTTTGCCACATTTTGCCATGGTCATTAACAGATAAGCTAGTCACACAATGTAAACAAATGGATATGGCTGCTCTAAAAAATATTTTCACAATTTTTCTTTTAAGTATGTAACTTTTCATTTTTATTGAAAGCTGTAATACAAATTATATGCAATGAGATTAATGTGGACCGAGGCTTTTTAAATGTGCTGAATTGGATCTCATGGATTAATTAACCACTGCTAGCCATCAATAAGGCAGACACACTACATTTGTTTACTTTGCAGAAAATAGCGTTCAACTGTTTCAATTAAACCCTCCAACCCGTCGCCAAGAAGGCATTCCATGCTGCACGATCTTGCAGTGGCTAAATGTGACCACCACTTACCGCATTAATCTCAAACTCTTCACATTTAAGAAATAAATAAATGCTCCACTGTGCCACATATCATACTTGGAGCAGTGCGCGGAGTTTATAAATTACTTTACAACATCATTCCCTTTTTACAGCAATTGAGTTAACATATTATCCCCCCCTCCACCCGTCACAGTGTACGGTACAAATGAAACACCGAACACAAGTCGCCATCATTTCCCACCTCCATAATGTCCCTTCCCTCGAGCAATAAAACACTGACATTGAGCTCGAGACATCATTTCTATTTAACGTCAATTGAAAGAGGCAGAGACCATTGCTAGTTATATTCCAATATACGACCGAATGTGTATAGATAAGTATCCTGCCGCCGCCGCTGCTGCTGCTGCTACATTGGTAGAAGAATGGTGCCTCGCACAATGTAGTTTATTTTTAGATTCAAGGCAAGCCATTGCATTTTTTCTCTCTCTTTTAGGATTTTGAATTGGATAGTAAACTGAAAGCCACGGTGATTGGATTTCTAGAGGACATAATGCGTGATCCAGAGCTGTTGCTTCAGGAGAGAAAAGCCGCAAACAACATTCTAAGGTCAGAAACGAGGGCGGTATTGTTCCCAGCTGTGATGCAACGCATTCTTGACATTCAAAAGAGCGTTTGCTTGTATTTGCCGCTTCATGTTTAATTCGCGGTTTTCATTTTAAAGCTGCCACTGCTGTCGCGTGCAGGGCCCTAATGACAGAAGAGGCAGACGATGGTCAGCTGACTCTGGAGAAAGTCTCACTCACGGTGGGTGTGCACGTACATTCCCTCTATTAACTGCCATTCCAACAGTCATACACAGACTGGCACGACTCTACTCTCATCTGCACTTAATATGGCACCGGCAATAAAAGGACTTTCATTCGTTTGAAAGCCAGGGCAGTATTTTCTCACCGTTAAATGTTTAAGGTGCAGTCCTTCAATTGCTTACTTACACCACTGCTAGTGGAAGTGCCTTCGCTATAAGAACGCTCTATCAAGCCCCTCGAGTAAGTATTTGGCATTCTCTACCACACTGACCACATTGTCTTCGAAGAGGTCAGAATACCTATATTTTAACCCACAGTATATTCTCTATTTTACTAACATTTGTGGGGTTTGTTCTACAAAACACAAATCAAAATGAGTACAAATGTAATATAATGGCTTGTTATGGCGATGAAATTAACCATTAGGTGTTACTTAATGTGATTAAATTGTACCTTCATTAGAGAACACATTTACAAACGACTGCGTATGATCTCACACAATTAGGAAAGTCAGCACACCGTAATAACAGTCTGAAATGACCTGCATCTGTAATATGTCCCATGCAGCAGCAAGTTAATTGGCTTGTTGTGTCATTCGTATAGAATACACCATGCATATAATCGTAAATATGGAATTGATCATTAGCTTTGCAAAGTAAGCATGTATTAAGATATGAATATTCTCAAACAAGATATAAGACTCAAGACTGAGACAATGATTGATCACCTGTCTTGTTTTTCTCTCTTGCTCAATCTTTATGCTATTGTCGCCCAGCTGATGGAGTAAGAAAGCTGTGTCTTGTGTGTGTACTCGCTGTTGGATCTGCATTGATAAAAAAAAATCATTCTGTCACCATCAGTGCTGTACTCTATAAATACGGTGTTGTTTCTTGTTTGCGCAACCGGGTAAAACATGTTCAAATGCATAATGACATATTCTTTGAAATGAGTGGAAGGCTAATAATATGGCTACAAGTCGGTTCTGTCGGCCCATTTAGTTAATCAAAGACGCTAAGTGACAGAAGAAAGAAAAAAGATTTGAAAGGAATTAAAAATTAATGTTTTAGAATGCACACTAATCCAATGGAATAAAATCGTAACACTCGGGGCTTTATGTCATGTGTTCAAGGTATAAGGCTCAACAAGTAGCGTTTTTGCTATTCACAGGCAAGTACGTTTTGCAATTTTCAGAATGAGGAGATGAAGCCAGAGCAGTTTGAATACCTGTCCGTGTTGGAGCTGGCCGAACAGCTGACTCTTCTAGACTTTCTCGTGTTCAGAAGCATCCCGTACCAGTGAGTGCAATTTTTGTTGTTGTGCAACACACCGAGGTTCAGTCTGATGCTCAAAGCTGAAGAGCAATCAAAGTGGAGGGATCAGGCAAAGGGCTGCATTGTTATGGAATGTGAATTTCTGTTTCAACATTTACCGCGCAGGCATTATTTATATGAGTGTTTACCACGTGCCTCTGTTGAGAGACAGTTAGATTCACACCTTTGAATACCACCGAGACTGATTTAACAGTTGCCTTTCCAATCGACTCCCTCGGGTTCCCAGAGATCATCGCGGCTGTGTGCGCGCGCGCGCGCACTGGATGTGTATTTATGAATTAATTATCCTTCCCATCGCACGGATCACAGGGGGTTCATGTGAGGTGGCCCAAAAGTGGTGCCTAATTTTATCTTTTAGTTACGTCTGCATCGTGTGCCTTGCGGTGTTTATCGAGTCAAGATGATCGTAAATATTTAGCGGACACGTTGTTTGATGACACTGCGTTGGCAGTGAACGAACACAAATAAAAGCGCCCTCTTCATTCACACTGCCGTAAAAGGATGAGGGGTATGCCAGTTAAAGTTTCGAGGCAATCACCATCCAGAGCACACTGAGAAGGCAGAGAGGGTACATTTGAAGTAGCTGTGTGATGCAACCATGCCTTTTTGTTTTGTGTGCCCACCTAAATGTGTCGCTCTTGTGCTTGCAAAATGGAAATGGGCTGCGTGCCTCGCGGCTGCTTCCGATGTTAATTTTAATTAACTGTAATGACGGCGGTGACAGGGCCTGTCAGAAGGAGGCATTCTAAAACGGAGTTCGTGCCCTGCATCTGATGTGTCCAGCGATAAAACACACTATTACTGTAATCTATTAATGTCGTGCCCCACGATCAATATACGTACAGTGTTGCAATCACTAAAACAAAGCTGGCAGCCTGACGTGGTTTCCCTGCTGGGTTAGTGAGGCTTAAACTTCAAAATCAATAAGTAATAATAATTCATTTGTTACAGATTCCTGCATTGTTTAAAATTGATTTTTGCCTACTACTTAAAGGTGCGCAAATACCGCCCTAACTCCTTGGCACACATCCTTTTTGCAGCATTGCATCCTTGCTCCGTGACACTTGCCCTGGCTACAGGGCCAGCGCTGGCACCCATTTACATCATCGGTTGACCCTTTGCCTGTCGAAAAGCGGCAATGAATCAAGGGATGAAACACTGCCCTTTCAATTCCCCCACCCTACCGACACAGCGTCGGATGTTTTGACATTTTGTCAATGTGCAAACCCATGTTATTTGAGGAGGAAATGTCACATGTGGAAAATTAGATGCGAAATGCATGTCGTCGCAGGGAGTTTTTAGACCGTGGATGGATGAAATCTGACAAAAACGAACGTGCGCCGAAAATCATGAGGACAAGCAAGCACTTTAATGAGGTAATGGCACGAGGGAGCGGCACACGATCACCTTAGGCTTGTGGCATGCAGCTTAATGGAGACAAATATATGTTTAAAAATATGTCCAAAAAGTAAGCAGAAAAATCCTACTCGCGTAAAAAGAATACATAAACTACGGGTACTTGCGTGTGTTTTTCTAACGTGTTGTCATTGCATATGGATATTGTATGCATTGCACTCTGTTGTTTATAACAGTTTTATTTGACACGCAAACGTGGAAATAAAAGGGTTTTTTATATCCAATTTGCAGAACGAGACAGGCCTCGGTCAAAAAAAGCTGCTCTGAATCACATTTCAACGCGAATGCACCACCTTGTACAAATCCCAAGATTAATAAATACATTAATTTAAATAATACGTTTTAAAGTAAAGGCATCCAAGTTGGTAATTTTCAGGGCAAGGGAAACAAATAATAAAAAAAAACAATCTGGACGCGATTGAATCTTTGATGGTGGTCTCGGTCTGGTGCACCCCAAGTCTAACAAAGACTCAATTTCCCGCACAGATGAGCAACTTGGTGGCCTGGGAGATTGCAAGCCGAATGGATGTGGGAGCCCGAGCCGCTGCCATCGACAAGTGGGTGGCAGTGGCTGACATCTGCCGCTGCCTGCACAGCTATAACACGGTGCTGCAGATCACGTCCGCACTCAACCGCAGTGCTGTCTACCGGCTCAAGAAAACCTGGGCCCGCGTATCCAAGCAGGTGAAAATATACACGGCAGACCTCCCGATAAGACTTCTACGTACTAGCTGACATTTGATTTCGTTAATCGTTTGCATCGCACGGTTTCTCTGTAAATTTTTGTAATGAGTCAAAGGGTTGCTTGATCGGAGTGGGGCATCGGAGCCTTGAATCACGTGGGTTCAGGTATTGTGCACCACCGTCCTTTTTATGCCGTTCCAAATGAATTTGGAACAATATTAATGTTTAATTTCAGACAAAGGCGCTTATCGACAAGCTCCAGAAAATAGTTTCATCTGAAGGGCGATTTAAGAATCTCCGAGAGACACTGAAAAGGTCAGTGAAGTGAAGGTCACAGCACAACAAAATTTACCTTCCACAGCTTATTGCCCAGTCTGTCTAAAAATGTTTCGTCTTTTGTTCTGCCATTATAGGCAGCTATTATTCTCAATTATAAATCAGACTTTATTACCTGTCATCATTTTATAAAGTATCCAGAGACACCTACGCTTCTGAAGCAATATAAAACTGCCGTACCGTTGATCAGACACAGTCACAATTAATTACTACACAATCTCGAAATAACGAAGCATCCTAAAGCCACCGTATCCCAAGATTGCGCTAAAACGCTGCGACGTGCACATTATTCATGGGGGGGGGGGGGGGGAAAGACGTAAGCATACCCTTTCCTAATACGTGACATGCCCTGTGCAGCTGTGACCCACCTTGCGTGCCCTATGTGGGTATGTACCTGACGGACCTGGCCTTCATTGAGGAAGGTACACCCAACTTCACGGAGGAAGGACTCGTCAATTTCTCAAAAATGAGAATGGTTGGTGCTCACTGTGCATGTCGCCTGTTTCTTCTCGCGATCACTGCTCACCAACAGCTGACATGTGGGCTGAGGGTGTCCATGCTGTTACACTCTCATACCAGTGAGGGGCAATATAGTCTAGTATTTTTTTTTTATATTTCTCTGTATCATGAAAAAATGTACAATACTGCAGGCAACTGCACCTTACCAAATGTTTCACTCGCTAGAGGATTAAATCCACGTGTTTTACATTATAAGTTCGTTATATATATACATATATACAAGCTAGTTTTTAAATACATTAATATGTACATTTCAACGTGTGTTTGTGTGAGTGTATTAAAAACCAGTGGTGGCAAAACCACAGCTCACAAGCCACATTAGTCCTTGAGCCCAGACCAGATATTTTTTACGTGTCAGTACCAACTAAGGTGGCATAACTGTAGCGGGTTCCAATTAATTACATGACCAAAAGGAGTGAATTCTGTGAAATTAGTGGGTTGTAAAATAATTTACTCGTATCAGCTGCATAAATGCATCGATATGACTAACGTTTTGCGACTTAACGCAGTCCCAATTTTCTGCTGTCGCCCATGGAATATGTGTGATTCCTGGGCAGTTCTAGTTTGCTCGATAGAGACACAGATAGTTGACATGTGTTCAATTAATCTCTATTTGAAACAGGACACTTCTGTGGAAGCGAGAGCAGCACGTAGTACTCATGTAGGGCAGCTGAGCCAGGCATGAGTACTCGCGGGATACTCCCATAGATTTCTAAATTCAAACCTACAGAGCCAACGAGCACGAGAAAACCAACCACGTGACCACCATACGTGACCACCCCGTATAACTCATTCAGCATATGCAGAAGTTGGCATGTGGCTCGTAGGGTCAGGAAGTTTGGCTACTCCTGATAGATGCGATATCTTCATTTTATATATGCTTCCTCGTTTTTCAAACAATGTCCCATTTCACATTGCAGATTTCGCATATAATTAGAGAGATACGGCAGTTCCAGACAAGTTGCTACAACATCGAACCCCAAACAAGAGTAAGAATGAACTTTACCCGTTGCATTACCAAACACCGCAGTCACAAACATCACACACATGTGATCGAGCAGTTGGCACAGTTGTTTGTGCACTGCACGATGAACCCAGCAACCCAAGTTCAATTCCCAGCCACAGATAATGTCAGTGGCAAGCGATATCTGAACCGGTTCAGGGTGCCCGCTTTATCAATCTGCACTGACCAGTGTGGTGAAATATGATAAAAACAAATAATAATGACCAAAATGGTGTGGGGAAGCCTTCATCCAGCCTTGACATAGAAATCGCATCACTGGTGATGATGATGATGATTATTATGATATACATTATATTAGGATCTTCCACAGTGTCATGGTTAGCACATTGGGCTTGCAATCCAGAGGTTGCTGATTTGATCTCCTGGCGCGTCAGTTGAAATAATGGGCACGTTTTTGTTTAATCCCCCCGCTTCCTTCGATAGATCGGTTCACCGCAGTCGATCGGCAGATCACGTGTGGTTACGTTAAATGTGGGCACTCTCAACGCTTCCAAAATGTGTGGCCAGCGTAGAGGAGTAGGCCAAGATACTCTCTGGAGCAGCTCTCCCGAGCTCCTTCGTGTGGAAGCCCTTTCGCGAGCAGTGGCGTCAGCGAGAAATTGCAGGGCTGCACTCTAAGCTATATTGCATGTAAGATATATGTGAATGCAATTTCCTATAGTTTAGAATTTAAAGCGTTTTAAATGTATAAAAATCCCTGAATTTGAATTACGTTTCAGAGGTTGATGTTGGTGCATTGCAGCAGTGGTGGTGGCTAGGCTCAAGAAAAGCATGCAGAAGCTTAGGGCTCCAAACACCTCAAGGGGCCCCAGATTTATATATATAAAAAAATCATGGGTGCATCAAATATCAGCTCAAATTCAAATGCAAACAAATATAACAAGCTAATTACCATACAAACCTAATTAATCAACTCTATGTTGCCAGCATCTCTCTTCCCTGATCTCTCAGTGGATCTCGAATGTTGTCTACGTTTCTCTTATCTCGCCACATTCAGTATCTCTTGTCTCTATCTCCATTGTCATCTCACTGGAATTTTATGGATTGAAAGATGGGGGCCAGCCTCTTCCCACCACTGAGACTACACCACCACTGCATCGCAAGTACTGCTGTGCGTGTTCCAACGCGAGTGCACTGCGTGCGTGTGTGCGGCTTGCTGTAGGTGACACGCTTCCTGCTGGACCGGGCTCACGTGTGCGACGATGACAGCCTATACGCGCTCTCCCTGCAAATCGAACCCAGGCTGCCCACATGACTATACCGGTGCATGATGCGCCAAGTCAGTTGAACGCTCTTCTGACTCAGAGCACACGGACGAGGCCAGTTGGGTTGGGGGCTTGGGAGGGAAGGCGGGCCTCGCCTCCGCTCGATTACCCTGCATGATTTGAGGGAATCGGATGTTTGCACGGACCTGCGAGGTGTCTAAGAGAGTCTTGGACGGAGGTGACTGCTCGGAGTGGCAGAGGTTGCAAGCGAACGCGGAATAAAAATGTGTCTGGCAGCAGTCATGTCTCTTGTGCCAGAAATTGAAACGGGAGCTTGCCACAAGGTGGACTTTTTTTTGTAACTAAGGCTTTATTTAATATGCAGCAAACCAAGTTTGTGCTAATGCATAGTGTTTAAGCATGCCTGCCTCACATCAACCATTAAGTCCAGCATGGAGATTAATTATTGTACAGAGGTGGTATTATCAGTACCTTGAGGCATAGGTAGCGCATGTGAATGGCATTTTATTCAAAAATGCACGAATATGCCTTTTTTCTCAATTCGTCTGATTTTAAAAAAAAGAAATGCATTACAATATTCATACACCATTTAATTTAATGGAATGTGAATATAAATGTACATTTAATTTAGTTAGCATGTGCAAAAAATTACAGGAATTGTATCGTTGCTTATTCGGCTATAGAGGTTAATATAAATGTGGCCTTAATTTAAAACGCACGCAAAATTCTTAAAATAGCTACACAACATGGAAATGAACATTATTGTTGAGAAATGCAGATGCTTGGGCTTGCATGCCCTGGGGCGAGTCGGGAGGGGGGGGTGGTGGTGGCCGCGGCATATTTCCGAGTCTTCATGCATGGACTCGCATCGCCAGTTGTTTTCTGCGGCTCAGCACGGCACGGGCGCTGTTGACAACGTGGTCTCTCTGAACGCACGCACCAAGATGACCACGCGACGCGGTGACGATGGCTCGCTCGCTCGCGCGCGCGCGCGCGCGCTCGCAGGCTCGGACCCACGCGCACCCAAAGGCGTGCTCGCGTTTTGCTTTGTTTGTCAAACCTTGGCCTGATTGACGTTGCACTATCATGTGCTGTTTATTTATTGGCTGTGTTAAACGGCACAAACTTGCATGATGTTTTGATGGTTTCTGTTCTGGAGTCGGTGAGCTTGGTAACTCTAACGCATATGTGCAATGTTGAAATGTAATCATGGTTATAACATAAAGTGCAAGAAAGCACGCTACACCTTGGTGTTTGTTTTTCATAAAAGGCGGCTTATGTGCAGCCAATAATTTGTATTATTCTCACTCGTGACAAACTCCTTCCGCTAAATCCTCTCCAAGAACACGCGATCAACCCCTATGGCCTGCTAAGGTGTCGTTCGTGATGGCTGCCCTTTGTTATTCACACGATTAGAAATAGCAGCCTCCTTTCGTCCGAGCAGAACATACATTGCCTAGCACTCTTCCATGATGTCTGACCAGCGTGGAAGAGTAGGCAAAACTCATTCCGCCAGCAGTGGTGTGAACAAATCATTGCCGGGCTGCAACTTGGCATTTTTATATTTGACCGTAGGTTCCATTTAGCCTACATATTTTATGCATGATACACAATGAAAGCATTTAATTTCTGAACGAAGCACTGACCGCGACTTTGATTAATTGTGTTCAGTGAAATCAGTCGTGAGATTTCACCGGGAAATGTTGCACCCAATAAGTGTGAGCCACATTTTAACGTGCGTTGTGCAACACGATCAGCACTCACATTTACCTCGTCTGGCTTCAAAGCTGTAGAGAACATGTGAGTATAAACTACGTGCTATTATGTTGTATGTACATTAACATAGTTTTCCTAGGCGTTGGAACGGTGTACATTATTTGACATAAGGTACCAAAAACATTTATTCAAATGGAAATGCATTTCATGGGTTTGAGGGGGGGGAGGGAAAAACTCCGTGGGTTATTAATGAGATACAGCTCATTTGGCTGCATATTCTTAACTGCAAAGGAGGATGATAAAGCTGCGATATTATGAGATGTCAAAAACCAGTAGATCATACTTTTATTACTTCCTCTGTAACTGTTAACTAGAAAAAAAATCATCTAACTTTTGTCCAAACATCATATTACTTAAGAATTCGTAGATATTCAGGTTGAACATTTTGGCATGACTTTAGCGTGAATAAAAAAAAATACTTTCATTAAATGTAAGGAAGGGAAAGTGGTATTAAAATATATTTTTACAAGTGATCATTTCTTACACTAAGGATCTCCACACTGCGAGGGATACTGTGCACTGCTTCAAGTCAGTCTAATAATTCAGATATTTTTTCTTAAGACCTTTTACTTCGTTGTGGTGATGGAAGAAGATATTCTCTCTGGTGGTACGGAGCAAGCAATCAGCTGGTCAAGTGTGAGAATTTGTCTTTGCATAGCATTTTATATACATGAAAAGTAAAATGTACAGTACTTTCATAGAAGGAATACAGTATGCAAATGTACAGTCAATCCACTGCTATATTTGAGCCTCCGTGCTGTGGAGAGAATAGGTGAGGTTTCAGCCCATGGCCTTTTCATTGCAGAGAGATCTGCCTGAAACATAATATACTATTTAACTTAGGGCAGTGTTTGAAATAACGTGTTAATTTATTTTGCCATGTGTTCCTCGTACACAGCTGTCAAAGCAGTATCAGAATAGATGTCTCGTATCACATATGGCTTTGTGGTGGGCACATGGGTTGCACATACGAATACCAGCCCGTGGCAGAAACCATTCGAAACAGCTGCCTGCAAACAAAGTATTTCTCAGCAGGGTCACAGTTGTCCAATACTTGGCACACGTGTGGAGATAGGCACAGTTGAAGATCAGCGTTGGTCTTACTCATCAGCAATGCACAAGCGTACTCGCATATTGTATGTACTACAGTCTAGTGGGCTCATAATTGGCTTGTTTTGGGGGATTCGAAGACCATAAGACTGGCCCCCTATGAGGAGACAACTTTAACCGAAGTAATTTTGATCACTGGACTAATAAGCCTGGTGTTCTATGTTCACTGGGGTTCTAAGCGCCTCTTTATTTTTACCTTACTGTAAGTTATTTAAATAAAAACATGACATTATGGCTGTTAACGACACGCATTAAGCTATGTGTTAATATATAATGTGCTTTATTATCATAGAGTCATGAGAAATGATCTGAGCGGTGTTTTTCCATGAATATTGGAAAAAAATATGGAAATTAAGATAAACTCCTATTTATTAAAGTCAAGTTTACATTTGTTTAAACCCTAAATAAATATACAACTACAGCACATAATGCATCTCATAAATAGTGTAATAACCAGCAACGTTCACAATGTAGAACGTACTTGTATGCTATATTTTCCTTATGATTGTGTGCAGTTGGTAAGAGAAAAAAAATATCTGCAGCGAAAAATACAGATGATGCTGAAGGCTTGACACGGCTCTGCCAATGTGCATCGTTGGTGTACAATCGGCAGTACACACCATCGTTTAAGCGGTTAGTCAGTCACGTGCATGGCAATTAACAGTTAAACACCGGTAATGCAAAATCATACACAGCCATCTCTAGATTACCTGATATAATGGTGACAACGGGTGGCCCGAATAAAACAAAACACCTGAGCGATGAAAAACATGCATGAAACGAATATTTATTGTTTACTTACTTAGAATTATGGTTTAATTTACGACACGTTTGCGGTTGTACTCATTAAACACAAAGTGCTTGTTACAAATGAACCACGATACATTGCTGATCTCGTCAAGGAGCAAAAACCATTACGCAAACTCCGATCATCCTCGCAGTGGCTTTTGGGTGCTCGCCGTGGAACAAAGACGCTCACCGCATCGCGCGCTTTCAGATGCGTTACTGCGGCCATCTGAAACGCTCCTCCTTCCGACATTATGAGGCCACTGGAGCTATGCCCTTTTAAATCTACATTGAAAACTCATTTAGTTAGAACTGATATTTGTGTTGGCTTTGTTGCCCTTCCCCCTGCACCTCCGATGAGCACGGTTGGCAACGTATGGTGCGAAAGAAATTCAACATACATGCGAGCATGAGTTACTCCTGACCCATAACGAGTCAGGAGTAACTCATAATGAAGCCAGCACATGCCCAAATCTGCCCACAGATAATCCAAAATTAACAGTACCCGCAAAAAGCAGGTGTTGGATGCACTCAAACATGAGAGAGCAAATGCATTTTTTAATTTGTAAATAACGGTTTTGAGCAATATTGTGCCGCACAATATAATTGCAAACCAAATTGGATGTATCATTAAAATGAAATGAATAGGTTTTCATCCAAGTTCGGTGAATATTTCATGTATATTTAAGTGTTTAGTGTTAATCCATGCACTGCAACAATTCCATAAAAAGCATTATCTGATTAATGCCTAATCACCCCTCTTGGAAGCAGCGCTCGACTGAATAAAATTTGCACGTCTATGATTTTTAATGTGCTTAGTTAGCAAGGCGTTATTAAACCCGGGGTTTAATTATTCAAGGAGGCATGATCATGTATAATGCTGTGCATAAAACATCTTCGTTCTTAGGCTTAACGAAATACGCAGTTTGGTCCGAAGGCACATTGCTGTAATATCCGTCTCATGGCAGTTTAGGAGGTGTTTCTTGCTTGCTGATTACATATTCATCTGATCATGTCTGTTCCACATGATTACTGCACTTGAGCTTGAAGTGTGGAGACTGTAGAGGAGCACATAGATTCTGAAATCGGTACGTGCCTTTTCTCTCCTCGATGTAGCATGAGTCGGCAACTGGGGTGCGATTCACGGAGCATTCACTAAAAAATGCAAGCCTCATTTTAGCATTGTACGCTTCACTGATTTGCCGATTGTTATTAATTATTAAGAGTTTTTTTTTTAAACGATTGGCTTATATTTTGCATGACTGTTCTCCCTATATACAATCGTGTATAGTGTTCTCTCCGGAGTATGTTAACTGAGTGGTCCACTCAACTAAAATTGGCTACCACCTGGCCAGAAAATTCGCTGCTTGCCTTGCTTTGAGGCAGTCACCCAGGAAACCTCTTAGCGGGATGCGAGAGTGGGTTACGCGAGGCTGCAGGGGAGGTATTCGCCTAGCATGGCCCAAGGCAATGTTTTTACTGTTGGTGAAATGTGAGGTTGTGAATCCGCCCTGTGCTATAGCGAGCCACCCACCTCCCCCATTCCGTTGTTCTCAATATACCGTCGACGGCTGTTGGTTGAGTGCCTAGAACTCCTGGAAAAATGGGATATATACACACATAAGGCTGGCTGGGTAGCAGCCAGATAAGTGTGGTACAAAGGGGAATGGGCGCATGGCGTGCTGGATATTAAAGGAATGAGAGGTAACATTCAGGGAGTGTCTAACTGTGGGACACGTGGATACGATGAGGATGCGGGGGTTTAAATGAAGAGTAAAGTAGGGGAACGTCATTCCGCTATTTAAGGCCGGTGGCAATATTATCCAGCTCCAATGACTGAAATTTATGCATGCTGGCTTAGCACCGTGCAAGCTCAATACTGTTAGGGGTTCATACGCATCAATGCAAACACGACTATTCACGCACATTCAGTTTATCCCACGTGTGGGCACATATAAATAAACAAATACGCTTGAGCAAGAGTTGGCACACCTGTGGCAAATGATATACGAATTTTACATTGCTTTAGACACGTGCTAATCCAATTGAATTGCAATAGAACGGCACCTGTTTTTTTGTTGAGGACGTTTCAGGTTAGAGGTCATCAGAACTAATAAACTGTTCACAATTACCACTGAATTATATGTAATCAAACCGCATCTTAACAGCGCAAACACAGCGCTGCTCTTAGAAGTGGCCTCGTGTAATTTATTTGGGTTTTAATTATAAATTATGCCACCCGTGTGGTCATGTCAGCTGCGAGATTTGTACATTAAACAAGGTAATTATTATTTGATATAATACCTTGCAGACTGAGAAGTTGCATTTAATTAACTTGCAGATTTGCATGTCTACTTCATATACGAACGAGTACACGGAGTGATGATCGTTCCATATTTTAGGAGCTGTGGCATTCTTCAGCGTTACAAAACGAAAATCCTGCTTCCTCTTCTACCAACAATCCATATGAACAGCGGGAGGAGGAGAAATTCGTAAAATTGTATCAGCAAAAAGGCATGTAGCTCGTGAACAAATACGTGTTACTATTAATAAAACATTTAACGGATAATCATGTCATGTATTACATTTTGCTAAAGTTCAAAACTACGTCACTCAATAGAGAGCCACTGCATCTGAGCGGGCGGTCTGTCATTTTGGTGACCCAGATTACTTCTTGCAAATGAGACAATACTGGTCTTTCGATTTTTCACCTGCTTGAAGAATTAAACTTCACTTGATGCTTTAAACTAAGCCACCTCATGCCCTACCTACCCCAAACCGGCTGCTTGCTCCTCCACACCGGTGCTACTTTTTTCACATTCAACACCGATCTACTGATAAATAAGTATTGATTATATATGATTATATATAATCATGGCATTTTCTCAGCACCACCATCCCACAAATGAGTCGGCTCCCTGGCCCACCCACCACCCCCTAATTTTTACAATTGTAGCACCACCCATGGCCAGAAGCGGGATGCACCACTCAACAGGATGTGACTTGGCAATCTGCTTCACTAGGGCCAAATACGTGTAAGTCTTCGTTGTGCCTTACATGCATGGACTTGCCCGTTTTGGTGCCAGACTGACCCCTGCTGCCAGATTAAAAACCATATGGACCTCAACTCATGCACACACTGCGCCCTTTTGTATACACGACATGTAAACTAAAAAAAAGCAGGCTCACATAATCGTAAGTGTCGTTGTGGAAAATGTAAATAACAATAGATGAGCGGACAATATCTCTCATTCATATATCTGTCTCTGACACCATGTCGAAACCGGTCAATAGTTTGCTTGTACTGAATCAATGCTGCTGCATGTATTCACGAATCAAAAGGCCTTGTTGGTGTCAATTGGTTATAGAAATAATAGTTTTACTATTTCTGTGGAAAGACAGATATGTGAAGCAGACATATTGCCTGCGTATCTATTAAATGCACGCTCACACACTCACACGTGTGAATACATGCGTACACGGGAATGCATGCGCAGATGTCGTTGTATATGTGAGAGCATGTCTTTGCGGCGTCTATAGATAACTAATTCAGCCTTGCACTTGCGCATGTTGTGATGAACCTGTGATGCCAAAATCAGTCGTTTTCCACTCATTCGTCAAATAAATAACTCAAATTATTCGACTCCACCTCAGCCTGCTTTATTAAAATTAGTTGAGTATCTTACAGCTTTCGAAAATGGAATTCTCTGTAAAGGCCACTTTTGGCGCAGTGTGTTGTAATGAATGCATTGTGAACATTATGCCCCTCATTATACCTGTCTGTAATTGCATGGAATCTGCCATATTTTTTATATTCATGCTTTGTTTTTTTTTTGCATTCAAAATGCATTGATTCGACACAAATATATATCAAGGCCGTTTACATTATCATTCTGTTCAAAGGTAGTCTGAAGTATACGTCTTTTTTAGAAGGACATATACAATTACATTCGTCCTTCTAAAAAAACACAAACCCTTTTGTTCAAATCAATGTCAGTTATCGGAATAGAAAAAGTGAATAGCAAATCCAGTATAAGTCTGTGCCAAATCTGGTGGACAATGGAGCTAAATGAAGTGCATTGTTATTAACAAACATCCCCCATAGCTTTAACAGACTGTTGGGGGAAGTGCTATTCGTGAGCACCTATGAAGGTTGGAACGGCATACGAAAGGGGTGGTCGGCCAGCACCACGCCCGGCCGCCTTTATCTCCCTAGTGGTGATGGTTACACATCCCACCAGGTACTCATTTGAATTTCAGTCGACCTAGGGGAGGCACAGGACCGGCTCAGACAATCGTCACTCGTGTTGGCTGTTAGCGGGAATGGAACCCGGGTCGCCAGGTTCGTAGCGCAGCGCGTTAACCGTGACACTCACCCTCTCCATACACACATACACAAACACACACACTAATTTTTTTAAATAAAAAAAATAACTTCCAGCATGATCTGAATACGCTTGCCAAGATCAATTTGTAAATAAATATTTGGCTTTAACCTCCTCCTCCTCCTTACCTCACTCTCCTTTGCTCCCACTACCACCTCACATTTTGCCCACACCTGCCTCTGATGTTTTTCCGCCTGCCTTGTTGTGATTGATTGCATTTGTACAAAATATCCTCGACCACAGAGATGCTACTGTGTACATATGCTGTATATACGAGCTCATTCTCTATGTGCATTGAGAATTATTGTGACCCCCTTAGCTGTAGTAAATAATATATTAATCAATAAAGGCTAGTGCCACCCTACAATGTTGCAAGTAACGCTTTCATTCCAGGAGCTCTAAAGTTATTGCCAAGCGGCAGACAGTTCCATTCCTATTACATGAATAAACATCCATTGGATTTTCTGTCAAGTTATGCATTGAGAATGACATATTGTACATAAACACATGTAATGTAGCACTCAGAGACACTGTCTTGTTCCAGTATGAAAATATATTTATTGTCTATTACGGTCCGCCCGACTCGATGGCATGTTAACGGGTAGACGCGAGTTGGCTATTACAGTGGGTGACTTTATGTGACTGCTACAAGACGGTCACCTATACAGCTGGCTGACTATATAGGAGCCGATGGAGTAGCAGTTACGGCGGCGATATATAATCTCCCCCTGGTCTTCCAAGACGATAAGGCGACCCGCTCCCAGACGGTGAGGGCGATCTACTCCAAGATGGCAACAGCGACGACGGTCCAACTTTGAATCCCCACAGCAGCCCTGAGCCCCGCTCCCCACTGCCTTTTATCTCCCCCTCTGGCTTAGCAACGCCCCTCGACTCAGCCACGCCCCTTTTCCCCGAACTCTCTCCTGCCTCATTTGACCCTGCCTGTCCCTGTCCGCTTCAATTACTATTTACGGCCACTAGACCCCATACTGTCCTTACACATGTGTATATGCTTAAAGCAATATACAGTTAAGGAAAATCACGCACTAAATGCAGGGAAATACAAGCGATACATTAATGAATGAATAACCTTGTTCCACGCAGCTGTCCTTTTTCTATACAATATAACTACAAAAGATGTATGTATATATTCTATGTCTAAAGTTGAATTGCTGACTACTGGCTGGGCACTTCGCACCCTAACAATAACCTTGTTAGTGGCTGTGTGCCGCTGTCACCGAAACAACTAGCTGGGTAACTGGCGAAACGGGATTCTCCGTGTAACAAATAAACTTTGAATTGAATAAAAAGTTGCGGAAGATGTTTGGAAGACGTATAAACAAGATAGCGACACCGACGAGGTGGGAGTAATGAATACAGAAGACTGACACGGTTCATTTACAGTTTCTCCAACTTTCAACGTATGTCATTCTTTCACCGGAATATTCTTTAAATCGAATTTTTATTTTTAAACCTCGCAATCTATATTATCGTGGCGTTTTATTAAGTAAAAACCAGATTACTTTTAGTGCTCCGAGTACAGGATTGTGAGAAGAGTCTAAAAATGATATCTGTCTTTTATTTTGCATTGCAGAGCAATGGCTTCTCTACGAGTACATATATTTTTAAAAAAGCGGCTTAACGCATTCAGCCACCTCTATTCATCGTGGGCATTGTCAGCAAAAAAAATTACACATACACACTGGTATGCTTATATCGTATTGCATGAAAAAATAAGTATGCATCGAGAAGTGCAGACTCTCTATTCAATATTACATTCAATATGGGTGCGCACATCATAACAGAGATCATGAAACATTGCACAAGACCCACAGATATATACACACACGTTGTACACATGCATAATTCTACATCTCTTGTAACTGGAGGGTAAATTTATATGTACACCCAGATTAAATCACAAATAATGCTTGTAGGTGCACACCCATAATCCAGCACTTTGGAGGCAATGGGGGTCCGTGGATCGCACGAAGATTTGTGAAACTTCAAACCTACACTGGGCAGTGAGATGTTCAGAAGACGCCAGGTGGGTTCATGAACCTGTGAGTAAACCTTTGAATGTTATTTATGCGTGTGCACGGTGGAATGACGACTGTGTCACGGTTGTGTTACATTATACAGTGCAGGTGTGTTACATTACAGAGATCAAGTGTGTTACATTATAGAGAGTGGGTGTGTTACATTATAGAGAGCAAGTGTGTTAGATTATAGACATCAGGTGTGTTACATTATGGAGATCAAGTGTGTTACATTATAGAGAGTGGGTGTGTTATATTATAGAGATCAGGTGTGTTACATTATAGAGAGTGGGTGTGTTACATTATAGACATCAAGCGTGTTACATTATAGGGATCAAGTGTGTTACATTATAGAGAGTGGGTGTGTTATATTATAGAGATTAGGTGTGTTACATTATAGAGATCAAGTGTGTTACATTATAGACATCAAGCGTGTTACATTATAGAGATCAAGTGTGTTACATTATAGACATCAAGCATGTTACATTATAGACATCAAGTGTGTTACATTATAGAGAAAAAGTGTGTTACATTATAGAGATCAAGTGTGTTACATTATAGACATCAGGTGTGTTACAATATAGAGATCAAGTGTGTTACATTATAGAGATCAAGTGTGTTACATTATAGAGAGTGGGTGTGTTACATTATAGAGAGTGGGTGTGTTACATTATAGACATCAGGTGTGTTACATTATAGAGATCAAGTGTGTTACATTATAGACATCAGGTGTGTTACATTATAGAGAGCAAGTGTGTTACATTATAGACATCAGGTGTGTTACATTATAGACATCAGGTGTGTTACATTATAGAGATCAAGTGTGTTACATTATAGACATCAGGTGTGTTACATTATAGAGATAAAGTGTGTTACATTATAGACATAAAGTGTGTTACATTATAGAGATCAAGTGTGTTACATTATAGACATCAGGTGTGTTACATTATAGAGATCAAGTGTGTTACATTATAGAGAGTGGGTGTGTTACATTATAGAGAGTGGGTGTGTTACATTATAGACATCAGGTGTGTTACATTATAGAGATCAAGTGTGTTACATTATAGACATCAGGTGTGTTACATTATAGAGAGCAAGTGTGTTACATTATAGACATCAGGTGTGTTACATTATAGACATCAGGTGTGTTACATTATAGAGATCAAGTGTGTTACATTATAGACATCAGGTGTGTTACATTATAGAGATAAAGTGTGTTACATTATAGCCATCAAGTGTGTTACATTATAGAGATCAAGTGTGTTACATTATAGACATCAGGTGTGTTACATTATAGAGATCAAGTGTGTTACATTATAGAGAGTGGGTGTGTTACATTATAGAGATCAAGTGTGTTACATTATAGAGATCAAGTGTGTTACATTATAGACATCAGGTGTGTTACATTATAGAGATCAAGTGTGTTACATTAAAGACATCAGGTGTGGTACATTATAGAGATCAAGTGTGTTACATTATAGAGAGTGGGTGTGTTACATTATAGAGATCAGGTGTATTACATTATAGACATCAGGTGTGTAACATTATAGACATCAGGTGTGTTACATTATAGACATCAGGTGTGTTACATTATAGAGATCAAGTGTGTTACATTAAAGACATCAGGTGTGGTACATTATAGAGATCAAGTGTGTTACATTATAGAGAGTGGGTGTGTTACATTATAGAGATCAGGTGTATTACATTATAGAAACCAGGTGTGTTACATTATAGACATCAGGTGTGTAACATTATAGACATCAGGTGTGTTACATTATAGAGATCAAGTGTGTTACATTATAGACATCAGGTGTGTTACATTATAGACATCAGGTATGTTACATTATAGAGATCAGGTGTGTTACATTATAGAGATCAGGTGTGTTACATTATAGACACCAGGTGTGTTACATTATAGAGATCAAGTGTGTTACATTATAGACATCAGGTGTGTTACATTATAGACATCAGGTGTGTTACATTATAGAAATCAAGTGTGTTACATTATAGACATCAGGTGTGTTACATTATAGAGAGTGGGTGTGTTACATTGTAGAGATCAGGTGTGTTACATTATAGACATCAGGTGTGTTACATTATAGAGCTCATGTGTGTTACATTATAGCGATCAAGTGTGTTACATTATAGACATCAAGCATGTTACATTATAGACATCAAGTGTGTTACATTATAGAGATAAAGTGTGTTACATTATAGAGATCAATTGTGTTACATTATAGACATCAGGTGTGTTACATTATAGATTTCAAGTGTGTTACATTATAGAGATCAAGTGTGTTACATTATAGAGAGTGGGTGTGTTACATTAAAGAGAGTGGGTGTGTTACATTATAGACATCAGGTGTGTTACATTATAGACATCAGGTGTGTTACATTATAGAGATCAAGTGTGTTACATTATAGACATCAGGTGTGTTACATTATAGAGATCAAGTGTGTTACATTATAGAGAGTGGGTGTGTTACATTATAGAGATCAAGTGTGTTACATTATAGATATCAAGTGTGTTACATTATAGAGATCAAGTGTGTTACATTATAGAGATCAAGTGTGTTACATTATAGAGATCAGGTGTGTTACATTATAGACATCAGGTGTGTTACATTATAGAGATCAGGTGTGTTACATTATAGAGATCAAGTGTGTTACATTATAGAGATCAGGTGTGTTACATTATAGACATCAGGTGTGTTACATTATAGAGATCAAGTGTGTTACATTATAGACATCAGGTGTGTTACATTATAGACATCAGGTATGTTACATTATAGAGATCAAGTGTGTTACATTATAGACATCAGGTGTGTTACATTATAGACATCAGGTGTGTTACATTATAGAGATCAAGTGTGTTACATTATAGAGATCAAGTGTGTTACATTATAGAGATCAGGTGTGTTACATTATAGAGATCAAGTGTGTTACATTATAGACATCAGGTGTGTTACATTATAGAGATCAAGTGTGTTACATTATAGACATCAGGTGTGTTAAATTATAGACATCAGGTGTGTTACATTATAGAGATCAGGTGTGTTGCATTATAGACATCAGGTGTGTTACATTATAGACACCAGGTGTGTTACATTATAGACATCAGGTGTGTTACATTATAGACATCAGGTGTGTTACATTATAGACATCAGGTTTGTTACATTATAGACATCAGGTGTGTTACATTATAGACACCAGGTGTGTTATATTATAGACACCAGGTGTGTTACATTATAGACATCAGGTGTTATTTGGTGACAACAGGTGTGTTACATTATAGACATCAGGTGTGTTAAATTATAGACAACAGGTGTGTTACATTATAGACATCAGGTGTGTTACATTATAGACATCAGGTGTGTTACATTATAGACACCAGGTGTTATTTGGTGACAACAGGTGTGTTTCATTATAGACATCAGGTGTGTTACATTATAGACACCAGGTGTTATTTGGTGACAACAGGTGTGTTACATTATAGACATCAGGTGTGTTACATTATAGACATTAGGTGTATTACATTATAGACATCAGGTGTGTTACATTATAGACATCAGGTGTGTTACATTATAGAGATCAAGTGTGTTACATTATAGACATCAGGTGTGTTACATTATAGACATCAGGTGTGTTACATTATAGACATCAGGTGTGTTACATTATAGACACCAGGTGTGTTACATTATAGACTTCAGGTGTGTTACATTATAGACATCAGATGTGTTACATTATAGAGATCAAGTGTGTTACATTATAGACATCAGGTGTTATTTGGTGACAACAGGTGTGTTACATTATAGACATCAGGTGTGTTACATTATAGACAACAGGTGTGTTACATTATAGACATCAGGTGTGTTACATTATAGACATCAGGTGTGTTACATTATAGACATCAGGTGTGTTACATTACAGACATCAGGTGTGTTACATTATAGACATCAGGTGTGTTACATTATAGACATCAGATGTGTTACATTATAGAGATCAGATGTGTTACATTATAGAGATCAAGTGTGTTACATTATAGACATCAGGTGTGTTACATTATAGACATCAGGTGTGTTACATTATAGACATCAGGTGTGTTACATTATAGACACCAGGTGTGTTACATTATAGACATCAGGTGTGTTACATTATAGACATCAGGTGTGTTACATTATAGACATCAGGTTTGTTACATTATAGACATCAGGTGTGTTACATTATAGACACCAGGTGTGTTATATTATAGACACCAGGTGTGTTACATTATAGACATCAGGTGTTATTTGGTGACAACAGGTGTGTTACATTATAGACATCAGGTGTGTTAAATTATAGACAACAGGTGTGTTACATTATAGACATCAGGTGTGTTACATTATAGACATCAGGTGTGTTACATTATAGACACCAGGTGTTATTTGGTGACAACAGGTGTGTTACATTATAGACATCAGGTGTGTTACATTATAGACACCAGGTGTTATTTGGTGACAACAGGTGTGTTACATTATAGACATCAGGTGTGTTACATTATAGACATTAGGTGTATTACATTATAGACATCAGGTGTGTTACATTATAGACATCAGGTGTGTTACATTATAGAGATCAAGTGTGTTACATTATAGACATCAGGTGTGTTACATTATAGACATCAGGTGTGTTACATTATAGACATCAGGTGTGTTACATTATAGACACCAGGTGTGTTACATTATAGACTTCAGGTGTGTTACATTATAGACATCAGATGTGTTACATTATAGAGATCAAGTGTGTTACATTATAGACATCAGGTATGTTACATTATAGACAGTGGGGGTGTTATATTATAGACATCAGGTGTGTTACATTATAGACATCAGGTGTGTTACATTATAGACATCAGGTGTGTTACATTATAGACATCAGGTGTTATTTGGTGACAACAGGTGTGTTACATTATAGACATCAGGTGTGTTACATTATAGACATCAGGTGTGTTACATTATAGACATCAGGTGTGTTACATTATAGACATCAGGTGTGTTACATTACAGACATCAGGTGTGTTACATTATAGACATCAGGTGTGTTACATTGTAGACATCAGATGTGTTACATTATAGAGATCAGATGTGTTACATTATAGAGATCAAGTGTGTTACATTATAGACATCAGGTGTGTTACATTATAGACATCAGGTGTGTTACATTATAGACACCAGGTGTGTTACATTATAGACATCAGGTGTGTTACATTATAGACATCAGGTGTGTTACATTATAGACATCAGGTGTGTTACATTATAGACATCAGGTGTGTTACATTATAGACACCAGGTGTGTTATATTATAGACACCAGGTGTGTTACATTATAGACATCAGGTGTTATTTGGTGACAACAGGTGTGTTACATTATAGACATCAGGTGTGTTACATTATAGACAACAGGTGTGTTACATTATAGACATCAGGTGTGTTACATTATAGACATCAGGTGTGTTACATTATAGACACCAGGTGTTATTTGGTGACAACAGGTGTGTTACATTATAGACATCAGGTGTGTTACATTATAGACACCAGGTGTTATTTGGTGACAACTGGTGTGTTACATTATAGACATCAGGTGTGTTACATTATAGACACCAGGTGTGTTACATTATAGACATCAGGTGTTATTTGGTGACAACAGGTGTGTTACATTATAGACATCAGGTGTTATTTGGTGACAACAGGTGTGTTACATTATAGACACCAGGTGTGTTATATTATAGACACCAGGTGTGTTACATTATAGACATCAGGTGTTATTTGGTGACAACAGGTGTGTTACATTATAGACATCAGGTGTGTTACATTATAGACATCAGGTGTGTTACATTATAGACACCAGGTGTGTTATATTATAGACACCAGGTGTGTTACATTATAGACATCAGGTGTTATTTGGTGACAACAGGTGTGTTACATTATAGACATCAGGTGTGTTACATTATAGACAACAGGTGTGTTACATTATAGACATCAGGTGTGTTACATTATAGACATCAGGTGTGTTACATTATAGACACCAGGTGTTATTTGGTGACAACAGGTGTGTTACATTATAGACATCAGGTGTGTTACATTATAGACACCAGGTGTTATTTGGTGACAACAGGTGTGTTACATTATAGACATCAGGTGTGTTACATTATAGACACCAGGTGTGTTACATTATAGACATCAGGTGTTATTTGGTGACAACAGGTGTGTTACATTATAGACATCAGGTGTTATTTGGTGACAACAGGTGTGTTACATTATAGACACCAGGTGTGTTATATTATAGACACCAGGTGTGTTACATTATAGACATCAGGTGTTATTTGGTGACAACAGGTGTGTTACATTATAGACATCAGATGTGTTATTTGGTGACAACAGGTGTGTTATATTATAGACACCAGGTGTTATATGGTGACAACAGGTCCTCTCAGAAGGGGGCAGTAGAGTTGCTGCGTGGTGTGGCCACGATAGCAGAAAGGTGAACTTGAACGGGCCAAACCGACATTCGGTGTTGATGGTGGTGGCGGGGAGGGCCCAACTCGAGAGCCCAACCCCAGAACCGGCTCAGAAATGAATGCGCCCACATGCCCAGGGCTCGCGTTCACCTTGACACGCAAGTGCCACCCAAGTCAAATCAGAAACATGAGAACATCATGGGTTCGTGTACAGTACCAGGGGAGGTGTGGGGTGGGAGGTGTTGTCTCACACCGCCTGTTCCGCCCATTCTACCCGCCCACCCAATGTAAATTTTGCTGTTCGCTTGCTGTCATCTTGCTGCTGCGCGGATATGGATCAGAATCTTCGCACGTCCGAGGGAGGGAATTCGGCCACAACGCAGGTCTCTCTTGCTCCCGTGGGCCCCCCACTCCTCCTGCTCCTCTTCCCCTGTGGTGGTGGTGGTGGTGTTGTTGTTGTAGTATCGACACCGGGCCCAGACGTGAACGTCTTTAACGCCACCGTGGGCTGCTGATAAGCTGAACAAAAACTCGAATTGCGGATGCCAGGACCGAGGCCTCGGCAATAGTAGTTGTATTAACACGACAGAAAGTATTGTCGCAGCCGGAGTAGAGAACGTGTGGGGAAGCCTCAGTAGTGTGTTCATGTCAAGACGATACTCAGTAACTACAGTGGTGTATGGTGTCAGACGATACACTGCTGCAAGTGCGGGTGACAGTAAAGAGACCTCCGTGTTTATTTTCTCTCTCTCCCTCTCATCAGGAAGTCACTTTCGAGTTGCGTCTCGGTTTTTATTTTAATTAAAGAGAGACGGGGCCTCGTACGAATAAGAAGGCCCTGCTCGCTACCGCACAGCGATAATCGTCCCGTGTAGAACGGTGAAGGCCCTCGTGGCGTCTGTTCATGTGGCCACGACGAGGACGAGGAGGACGACACGTGGGCCCCCCCCCCAAGCGTGGGGGGCCTCCCCCCCCCCAGCGTGGGGGGCCTCCCCCCCCCCAGCGTGGGGGGCCTCCCCCCCCCCAGCGTGTGGCCCGGACTAAACCCTCCCGCGTGTCGGCCTCGGTGTGCAGGGCTCGCTCCGTACAATCGCGTTAGGCCAGGGTCAATCCACTGCTAGATTACGGCACCCACTTTTGTTGTTGTCTTCCACGACCACCACCCCCCACGCCTAGCACCTCGCACCAACAACTCCCATCACCCCCCGGTGGACGCGCCTCGGGTTAGTAGTAACGCGTTCCGTTGGCTTGTTTGTCGCGACAAGGTGCACAACAACAACACGTGGTGTTGTTTGTCGCGACAAGGTGCACAACAACAACACGTGGTGTTGTTTGTCGCGACAAGGTGCACAACAACACGTGGTGTTGTTTCGTCGCGACAAGGTGCACAACAACAACACGTGGTGTTGTTTGTCGCGACAAGGTGCACAACAACAACACGTGGTGTTGTTTGTCGCGACAAGGTGCACAACAACAACACGTGGTGTTGTTTGTCGCGACAAGGTGCACAACAACAACACGTGGTGTTGTTTTGTCGCGACAAGGTGCACAAGAACACGTGGTGTTTGTCGCGACAAGGTGCACAACAACTACAACACGTGGTGTTGTTTGTCGCGACAAGGTGCACAACAACAACACGTGGTGTTGTTTGTCGCGACAAGGTGCACAACAACAACACGTGGTGTTGTTTTGTCGCGACAAGGTGCACAAGAACACGTGGTGTTTGTCGCGACAAGGTGCACAACAACTACAACACGTGGTGTTGTTTGTCGCGACAAGGTGCACAACAACAACACGTGGTGTTGTTTGTCGCGACAAGGTGCACAACAACAACACGTGGTGTTGTTTGTCGCGACAAGGTGCACAACAACACCTGGTGTTGTTTGTCGCGACAAGGTGCACAACAACACGTGGTGTTGTTTGTCGCGACAAGGTGCACAACAACAACACGTGGTGTTGTTTGTCGCGACAAGGTGCACAACAACAACACGTGGTGTTGTTTGTCGTGACAAGGTGCACAACAACAACACGTGGTGTTGTTTCGTCGCGACAAGGTGCACAAGAACACGTGGTGTTGTTTGTCGCGACAAGGTGCACAACAACTACAACACGTGGTGTTGTTTGTCGCGACAAGGTGCACAACAACAACACGTGGTGTTGTTTCGTCGCAACAAGGTGCACAACAACACAACACGTGGTGTTGTTTGTGCGCAACAAGGTGCACAACAACAACTTATTTCACGTATGTGCATAAATATATTTAGGCTCGCTGGTCTCGTCATGAAACTGCAATGAAAAAGCACCGGGGGAGGCAGCTATCACATCTGCCTCCCTTAGGGGGATGCGTCTAACACGCCCCCCTCAGTGAGGCCACGCCCCCACCTCCGTGAGGCCACGCCCCCCCCCTCTCTGTGTGACTCTTGACACTAGCCAGTGCCTCCCCAGCCATTGACCTCACTGCGCGTCACTGGTACTGACTGTCAATGTCGACTTTGGGGCACCTTTTGTATGCAGTGCTGATAAGCTTCGTGTGCGTATCGCTGTGCGGTGAAGTGTATACACGCGGCGCTCGTGTGGAAACTTGCACCGCGTACGCAACGTTCTGGCAACTGTGTCAACCAAGCGCACTGGCGCTCTTTAGTTGCGTGTTGTCGTGCGCTTTGTGGCAACGTGTGTTATTTGCACCGTCTGCTCTTGCCAGTTACATCCACGTGCTTTTCCATTAAATGCGTGTTTTCTTTCCAGAGTACACGCGCTGTCAAATGATACACACACACCTTTTCCCATTATCCACATGCGCTTTGCATGTTTAACACGTAGGCTTTCGCTACCAATATTTTCCGTAATACTGGAGAGGTTTTTTTTTGGGGGGGGGGGGGGGGCTGGTTAGATCGCGTAAATATAAGACGAGGTTTTTGTTTGCCCGTCCAATGACGGGTGTATATTGCGGGACGTCTGAAATATTCAATAGAAAAATTGTTCAGCTCATGATTATTAATGAGGGGGTGGGGTTGCCCCCCCATGTGGAGTGACGTCACCCCCCATGTGGAGTGACGTCACCCGCTCATGGTTATTGTGGAGGGGTGCGGCATGTGGAGTGACGTTACCCGCTAATGGTTATTGGGGAGGGGTGCGGCATGTGGAGTGACGCCACCTACTCATGATTATTAATGAGGGGAGGGGTGCGGCATGTGGAGTGACGTCACCCGCTCATGGTTATTGTGGAGGGGTGCGGCATGTGGAGTGACGTCACCTACTCATGATTATTAATGAGGGGAGGGGTGCAGCATGTGGAGTGACGTCACCCGCTCATGATTATCAATGAGGGGAGGGGTGCGGCATGTGCAGTGACGTCACTCACTCATGATTATTAATGAGGGGAGGGGTGCGGCATGTGGAGTGACGTCACCCGCTCATGATTATTAATGAGGGGAGGGGTGCGGCATGTGGAGTGACGTCACCCGCTCATGATTATTAATGAGGGGAGGGGTGCGGCATGTGGCGTGACGTCACCCGCTCATGATTATTAATGAGGGGAGGGGTGCGGCATGTGGAGTGACGTCACCCGCTCATGATTATTAATGAGGGGGGGGTGCGGCATGTGGAGTGACGTCACCCGCTCATGATTATTAATGAGGGGAGGGGTGCGGCATGTGGCGTGACGTCACCCGCTCATGATTATTAATGAGGGGAGGGGTGTGGCATGTGCAGTGCGCGACCTTCTTGTGCGTCAGTGTAAATTTACACGCGGGCATGAATATTAATGAAGGGGGGGGGCTCTTTTGCAGTGACGTCACCCACGGATGTAGCACTGTGCTGCGTAAATTTATTTTTCACTTTCTGTAAAGAAACGTCATATTTGAAGCGACTGCATAATAAATTATTTAATTCGGCTCGACCTTCCTCTATGTTAGTGTAAAAATCCACCCACTCATGAATATTAATGATGGGGGTGGGCCTCATGTGTAGTGACGTCAAGTGGGGGGCCTCGTGGAGTGACGTCACGCGGAGGGGGGCTCACGTGGAGTGACGTCACGCGCGTGAAATTCTTGGCTTATAGAATATCATAAATCAAAATGTATAGAATGTCGTGAAACCCGCCACCACCCGACACGGCCAACGTAACGAAGCCAGTGTGACAAATTGGCATGTTTTGTTTGCGTGGCAAACCTTATTAATATGCTGCGTTAGGTGGTGGCGGGTTTAACGACACATGTACGGTTTAGAAGTCAAGATTACCCTGGCTACTGCCGTGATTAACTTTGCCAGTCTGCTGCCGGATTCAGTCCTCCACCCGTAACACGTCGTGTCGGTTTGCGGATGTTGCTTGAGTTCTCATACTTCACACTGGTCAGTGCAGGCAGTGGAGGCTGTTCAGCCTTAGCCGGGAATCTCGAACGCAAGGCAGGAATGCGTCTTCACTCGGTATCACACGATCTCTATATTGTATAGTACAGACGTGCAATAGGAGGCAATGGATAACCATTGTCATTTTTACACATTCATTAATTCCTCCACCCCCCCTGCACGTGAAGGGCTCACAGGTGACCCCATCACATCTGCGCCTCTATTTAAGGGACATAACGGGAGGATTTCTCTCCACAAATCTGCCGGTTGAAATTACTGGCGAAACGTCGTACTCGGATTGTAAATGTTGTGTATTTGCTCTCCAACACACCGGTGTGCTGTACTCGTAACGAATTGGTCACGTTCTCTTTACGTGACAGAACCTCACTAATTTACTGTCGGACGGTGGCGGGTTTAACGACACATTTACGCGATCTAACCCCCCAAAAAAACCCTCTATTATGGATGCAATATGAGCATAACTTACCAAGTCCCTTGTCAAAACGTGAATTTCATCCCATTCATCACACTTCGTAGTGGGATCGGGATACACTTTTAATGGAATATTTTACTAACACGAAGTCAGCCTGACGGCTGTTGCCCGTAAAGACATTGACCCAGTACCCCTGTCGACAACCCACTGTTGGTAACAAAATACAGGACTTTGCAGAGTCGTTACATTAATTGCGCAATCCCTCGTGGGTTAGTGTTTATCATCGCAGCAGCTGATGGCATGCCCAAGCTATACACATACCATATTATCCGGATTATAAGATGCCCAACCCCAACCTTGCCTGTATTTTTAAAGAAAAGTTGGAGGTGCGTATTATGATTACGTGCGAACAGCCCTTTTGTCTCAGCTCATGGGCTTATTGGCCCTCTTTCACCACGGTGGTGGAGTTGAAGGCAGTGAGCATGCAAGTCCAGTGCAACAATATTATGTTGCACAGAGCCTCTCCCCCAGCACCCTATAAAAGCAACCTGCTGTTAATGATGCACAGTGGCCACCTACCAAAGCAATATACAGGCTCAACCCTGGTATTCCTTCCACGATCTGGCACATTCCAGGTTGTTTGGTTATAAGGCAAAATACTCTCCTCTTCAATCAATGAAGAGCAACAACAAATTTGAACAAGGAGAATGAGACAATACAAGTAATATAAACAACAAAAATGAGTAACCCAATGGTATCGTAAATGGCCACCCATTGTGACAACTGAATCGTGGAAGATGCACACTCATCTGACAAAATGTTTCCTACTACCACTTTGAAGCCGTACACAGCACTGACAAAGCTTTCGCTTACAGCCGCAGACGCCCAAGGCAATACGCACCTTGCGCTTCCTCAACCCTGGTCCCAACATCTCGGACTTCAACCCTGAGAACAGCAAGCGGGAACGGAGGAAGCTGCAGAGTAAAGTCAAAACCGCAGAGAGGTGGGACCCCACACATCACCAGCGTGTTTGCAAAAGGGCCACATTGTGTCAGGCGAACCAAGGAGGGCAAGATCAGCGTGGCATTGCTAAGAGGACTGTGTGTAATATGTTCTGCCCTGGCTGGCAATGTCGATCAATGTAATTCGTGGTTTGTGTCTCGCGACTGGCTGCCAAGGCAAAATGACCAGAGTTGCAGCATTTAAGTTAAGGATGGTTTGTAATGCACGTCATCATTTACTTGGGCACTAAATTGTCCCTGAAAAGTACAATACGTGATTTAGAAATACTGCATGAATGTATAATTATTTAGAGTTTTCCCCAAAGAATGCAGTAAACGGACATTTTTGCAAGTTAGCTGCCTTATATCTGATGCATGATCTGCACTATAAAGATGCATTGATTCATAAATAAGTGTATATGCTCATGCATGCATCATATATCAAAGGCTTCATTAATTTATATTTAAGCAAGCTATATACTAATGTGCTGTACATGGAAGTTAATCAAATGGGTGACAGAACAATTTGGGACAAGACAATAAAAACGAAATGTCATAAACTAAACAAAAAACATACTTCTAAATCGGAGCATGCACCTGAATCACGACAACTTGCTGCTCAGCTGAATCACTTCACATTTAGTTTGCAGATGCTACTTACGAAAAGGTGCAATGACGTCAATATATATGTTGGATTCGTGCATTTGTGAACGTGAACGTGTTTTCAGAATCGCCGCCTCATTTTGCTTACTGGAGCTCAATCCGTCGGTTGTGGCACTGCCAGGCTATGTCAGCAAGCGAATCAGCGCGTGTACGATGAGGCGGGGCGGCTCATCTCCGTGGGGATTGACCTATGCGACTGCCTGGACGAGGACTGTCCAGGCTGCTTTTACAGCTGCTCCCAGTGCAGCTCCCCCAAGTGTGGTCTCCAGTGCCGCGTGTACCGCAAGTGGCTCTACGATCGCATCGATGTGGAGGGGGGAAATGCCTTGCACAATTGTGCTGCCAACGGCTAGGCCACACGCCGGTCGCTGCGGTGCCACGCGCGCGTGTGTGCGTGCGTGGCATGTTGTTTACCTTCCAGTTCACACTCGGTGATATCCCATTATCAAAAAAACATTGACACGCTCTTGCGTATGTATGTCAGTGTATCCTGTGGACATTTTTTTCCAAAAGAGCATATTTTATTCTGGAGTTATTGCACTTTAAGTCATCTTAGTGAAATTACAAGATTTTGTTTAAGTCAATGCAGTGTGCTTATGCATGACTTGCATATCGCATACTAGCACAGCCCGCACATCTGTGCGGGATGTAGTTTCACCCCACTCTTGCCCACTGCGCAAGGGATTTGGTGTGAAACGTGATGACATCATAAAGTCAATCAGCCCTATATCGTGACGTCACAATGCCGAAGCCAAGCACGTTAAGGAACCATGGCTTCATGCAGAACATTTTAACATAATTAATTAATGGGGAACGTAACTTCCTGACGACGCATCTTCTTGGTTCTTACGGTAAAGTCACGTGGAAGGGAAATAATAAAATAATAAAACGACTCTACGAATAAAATGAAAGTCGATCTTCCGAACATTTTTGGCTTCCCATTGGTTGGTATTGGACATACTTTTTTGGAATTTCACGGGCAAAATGTGAATTCGAAAAGGCAAATATTTTGCGGGTATGTTTTCCCCGAGAAAATGTTGAGTGTTCGGGTTGTTTTTGTACAACATACCCTTTGTGGCAAAAGAGCCAGATGGACACTTGCACGTTTTATTCGCTGTGTATAAGATATTAAATATATTAACACCTGTCATTTTGGTTTTAATAAATATACAAATATTCTCATTTTCTATTTAAGTATTCTATTTTTACCAATAACTTATCAATCCTGTTTAGTATATGAATAAATCCTCTCTCAACATGTGGTTTGCAAAATATTCTTGGCCTTCCGTTTACAAAAATGTATTGGGATTCTCCAGAATAGTGTCACACCAACAGCGTTGCTAAACAAATGGTTCTTGCCAGCATACAGAGAAAATATTGTTAAGTAGTAAATAAAATGTTTTAACTGCTTACCGGCAGCAATGAGAGAAACTAACACGGGCCAGCAGGCCACACAATCAACCATGCCCCATTAGTGGTCCTACGGGCTAATCCCATGAAGACCATTGCCCGTGTCTTGAGGAAGAGGGGTTCATGCTGCTGTACAAGAACAATACGACGAGACATATTGACTGGTTTCCCCGCATGTGCCTTCGTTTAGGCAATCCAAACGGAGTATCGGTGAAAATTACACGCGTGTCGCCACGAACACAGAACCTGGACGCCACGGAACCCATAATGCAGATTGATGTAATGAAACTACATCCAAAAACGCTTGGAAAACTAGTTCAGGAGATATTCCATGAAAAACTCCCAATGCAATGCTTTTTGAGTTCCAGACACTTGGTCTGATGACAAATATATGGTATTCTTTATTGAAGTACAATAAAAAATACTATTTGGAGAAATACTAGCTTATTGTAAACCGTAAAAAATATAAATGACTCGGGAAGATAAGCAACATTAAAACTCAATCTAGATTTAATCAACATTAAAACTGAAAAGTAAAATTACGTAATGTACCTTGATAGGTATATTGTGAGTGGTTTATTAAAAATATTTTTTTCAATTACAAACTACTTTCAGCAGAACATTACTATATTTTAGGTGGAAAACATTGTTTCAAATGCATTGTGTACATCGAAGAGAATTCCAAAAATCCACAAAGTCCGAAACTTCACAGATTACCCATGGTTCGCGACTCCTCCCAAAATACTCGGGACCATTTATCCTGAAATCAATACAAAGAGTAAGAGTTTTAGCTCTCTCCTGGGAGCAGCCAATTCCTCTCACAATCTGTGGCCCACCTCGTCGGCAGCTTATTATAACTATCATAACTTAATATTAGAAAAAAATGGAAAGCACTTCGCATTGCAAGTAGGCTACTGGCTTCTTTGCATTATGAACTATATTCCCTTTTTTCAGTGCTTCACATTGCAGATGTCGCTGGGTTTGCACTCCTCACCCTTTTTGAAGTGCTTGAATAGCACAGCTACAGGTAGAATCGTCGAACTGAATTTATACAGTGAGGGGTATAAAGTATTTGATCCCCTGCTGATTTTGTACGTTTTCCCACCGACAAAGAAATGATCAGTCTATAATTTTAATGGTAGGTTTATTTGAACAGTGAGAGACAGAATAACAACAAAATCCAGAAAAAAAACGCATGTCAAAAATGGTATGAATTGATTTGCATTTTAATGAGGGAAATAAGTATTTGACCCCTCTGCAAAACATGACTTAGTACTTGGTGGCAAAACCCTTGTTGGCAATCAGAGAGGTCAGACGTTTTTTGTAGTTGGCCACCAGGTTTGCACATATCTCAGGAGGGATTTTGTCCCACTCCTCTTTGCAGATCTTCTCCAAGTCATTAAGGTTTCGAGGCTGACGTTTGGCAACTCGAATCTTCAGCTCCCTCCACAGATTTTCTATGGGATTAAGCTCTGGAGACTGGCTAGGCCACTCCAGGACCTTAATGTGCTTCTTCTTGAGCCACTCCTTTGTTGCCTTGGCCGTGTGTTTTGGGTCAGTCATGCTGGAATACCCATCCATGACCCATTTTCAATGCCCTGGCTGAGGGGAGGTTCTCACCCAAGATTTGATGGTACATGGCCCCGTCCATCGTCCCTTTAATGCGGTGAAGTTCTTGCCGGTGGGGATGGTGTTCTTGGGGTCATAGGCAGCATTCCTCCTCCAAACACGGCGAGTTGAGTTGATGCCAAAGAGCTCCATATTGGTTGCATCTGACCACAACTCTTTCAGCCAGTTGTCCTCTAAATAATTCAGATGTTCATTGGCAAACTTCAGACGGGCATGTATGTGCTTTCTTGAGCAGGGGGACCTTGCGGGTGCTGCAGGATTTCAGTTCTTCACGGCGTAGTGTGTTACCAATTGTTTTCTTGGTGACTATGGTCCCAGCTGCCTTGAGATCATTGACAAGATCCTCCCGTGTAGTTCTGGGCTGATTCCTCACCGTTCTCATGATCATTGCAACTCCACGAGGTGAGATCTTGCATGGAGCCCCAGGCCGAGGGAGATTGACAGTTCCATTGTGTTTCTTCCATTTGCGAATAATCGCACCAATTGTTGTCACCTTCTCACCAAGCTGTTTGGCAATGGTCTTGTAGCCCATTCCAGCCTTGTGTAGGTCTATAATCTTGTCCCTGACATCCTTGGAGAGCTCTTTGGTCTTGGCCATGGTGGAGAGTTTGCAATCTGATTGATTGCTTCTGTGGACAGGTGTCTTTTATACAGGTAACGAGCTGAGATTAGGAGCACACTCTTTAAGGGAGTGCTCCTAATCTCACCTTGTTACCTGTATAAAAGACACCTGGGAGCCAGAAATCTTTCTGATTGAGAGGGGATCAAATACTTATTTCCCTCATTAAAATGCAAATCAATTTATAACATTTTTGACATGCGTTTTTCTGGATTTTTTGTTGTTAATCTGTCTCTCACTGTTCAAATAAACCTACCATTAAAATTATAGACTGATCATTTCTTTGTCAGTGGGCAAACGTACAACATCAGCAGGGGATCAAATACTTTTTTTCCCTCATTGTAAACAGGTGAAATGCATTTTTTTGGGCAAAATTGTGTTTTGCATAAACACATACTTCCCCCCACCTCCGATTAGCATGGTTGGCTACGGACGATAAATAAGTTCAACATACATACATAGCTCTCCTAATTTGATTTGTTGAGTAATAAAGGTGTTTAAAAATTTTTGTTGACTTGCATATGAGGTGTAAGAAAATGCAAAACATATTTGAAGACTGCCAGATTTGCAATTTAAGTCTTAGAAAATGTAACCTCATCCGCAAATTGATCGCAGATTAATGGAGCCTCTAGTCACGTGACGCGCTTCCCCTGTGAAGCTTTTTCATATTAATGATGTCGC